CGTCTGCAGGCCATACGCATTAAACACTTGCCGCCCAATACTGTGCAATTTGAAACTCTAATGGCCAACAACATTGAGGGTGAGCTTGAATACATCCAAAGAATTCTTAATACTTATCTTGATAATCGATTGTTGCAGGCACCGTGACACGCGAGGCGCCCAAGAGTCCCATTAAATCTCAGGATCGCTTCGAGGGTGGCGTCATCACCTACGAGCATGGCGATGTTAAAAAGACTATTATGTATTTTCTTAAAGACTGCGAAAAACCACCAAGGGTTGGCGAGCGCGTGCGCTTCGATATTTACATGGTGGGTTACAGTTGCAAGCAATAAAAGTTATATGTGTAGCTATCAGCGAGGCAGACAAGCAGAGAGACGGACAGGCAGACAGGCAGACACACAAGAAGACAGGCAGACAGGAGAAGACAGACAGACAGGAAGACAGACAGGCAAACACATGGACAGAAAAGTGGCAGACAGACAAGGAGACTGATCTGTCTGTCTGTCTATTTGATCCGAAATTGAAATATATCTGCAAAAGAATTTAACTTTCGGCAGTCTGAAGACAGTGCCCTATTCTTAATAAAATCTAATTTTGTAACCCGCTTCCCTTTTCGCAGGTTAAACGTAACAAGGAATTTATAGCTGTCAATGTGCAGCAAGTATCGCTGCAACAGCAACAGGCGCAGCAACAACAACAACAACTTTTAAGCCAGCAAACAGCTGCTCAACAACAACAACAACCACAACTACAACCAGTTGCCAATCTAAATCAGAACGATCAAGTGTTGATCTCGAATGGCATCGGCACGAATGCCAGCTCCATGCAGAATGGTTATATAATGCACGGCAGCCCTGGCGGCGGCAGCAGCAGCAACAGCAGCGTGGGCAGCAATGCCACCACTCAGCAGATTTCAACGCCCCACATCGAGGACTTTAAGCTGGAGAATAATAATCATGCGAATGCTGAGGCCGCTGGCGGGCAGTTGTATCGTGGATTTATAGCCGTCATCAAGGAGAATTTTGGCTTCATCGAGACGCTGTCGCACGATGAGGAGGTATTCTTTCACTTTAGCAACTATCAGGGCAATCCCAATTGGCTTGAGCTGGGTCAGGAGGTCGAGTATACTTTGGCCCCCAACGGCAACACCTCCGTTTCGGGCAATTGCTTGCCCGCTGAGAATGTGCGCACTTTGCCAAAGAACTCAATACCGCAGCCGGCGGTGCTGGAGACGGTGCACAATGGCGTTGTGGCGCGTCCGTTGCGTTGCATCAATCCGGACCAGCAGGAATATGCTGGCCTAATTGAGATACTCGATGAGCAGCGCACCACAATCATTTCACAGCATGAATTCGGCATCACCAGCTTGGTGAATAAGCGCGATCTATTGCAGAAAGGCGATCTGGTTAGCTTTCGCATCGATGAGAGCGGCCGGGCGGCCGAGGTGAATGCGGTGCGGCAAAAGAAACGTGCAACTGTCGACTCCATCAAGGGTCAATTTGGTTTTCTCAATTTCGAGGTCGAAGACGGCAAGAAGCTATTCTTTCACATGTCCGAGGTACAGGGCAATACGGTGGCTCTGCATCCTGGCGATACCGTCGAGTTCTCCGTGGTTACCAATCAGGTGGGCAGCAGCTTAGAGTTCTATTTTTTTAAACTATAATCTTACATGTTATTTAATTACTCTTCGCAGCGCAATGGCAAATCTTCGGCTTGCAATGTTTTAAAAATAAACGATCGTCCCGATCGTCTGATCTCGCGCCTTAAGCTCAATGGCGATGACGGTGTGCCGCGTTTGATATTGATACGCGCACCCAAGGGGCCGCAGGGCAAGGGCTTCTCTATACTCGCGCGCCATCCACGCATTCCAGGTGCGTTAACACACAAATTAACTAATTAAAACGTGTATTAATATATATATTCTCGTTGCTTACAGGCGCCATTATGGAGTAATTCCAAATCAGATATTTGATGCAAATTAAAGACAATGCACACACAAACACACACACACACATGCAACCATATATATCTATATATATATATATATATATTCTTGTACGCTACAACATAAACAAGGCTTACCATACACAAAGATGGCACAGGAACTGCAAATATAAATTAACAACAATTACGCAACTACAGAACTACATTGTGAACTTGTCTCTTAACAACCATATTATCAATGAATACAAACAAGCATACATTTATTAAGTATATTAACTTAGAAGCAAAACACTATTTGAAACGATAATAATAATTGATAGCAAAACATATGGCATACCACATACATATATATGTATAATTATGATGAATACTAAACGGCAACTCCAAAACAATTTCTACGTGTCTGATATATATATATATATATAAAACGAAAGAAAAAAAAAACAAGAAAATATTACAAAAAAAAAAAAAAAACTAAAACTAACGAAATTTTACGTAAACTTACGCATTAACCATTAAACCAGGGCCCTAAACTCCTAATTGTAATCAAATGCAGTCTGTATTCTTTTTCTGTTATATTGAAGTTGTGCGCTGCTTAAAACTGAAATTCAAGTGTCTGAGAGATGAAACCAAATTGTGTGTATACGTATACTATTTTTCAACTAGTTTTGCTTTAATTTAATTTTAGCATATATAAAATGAAATCTATAACATATTAAGAGATACAAAAAAAAAAAAACAAAGTAAACAATTATTGTATAATGGCAACGAAATCCTTGCATATGTGCATTAGACAAACAAATAACAAAAAGATAAACAAACAAAAACACTATATGCCATAGATGCGTAGATAGTTATTTCTTTTCTCTACTTATATATGCTCTATTCTCTAACTCTATTCTAATAATTCTCGCAAACTGTTCTTTCTTAGCTTCTTTGAAGTCTTTACTGTTAAACTGGCAAATATATATATTTATTACGATGATTGTATACAACAAATGGAAAATGAAAGCATGAAGTATTTATAGCAAACAAAGTCTTAATTTCGTTTGTAACATTTCAACACCAAAACACTCTATCGAGTATCGAGTATAGATATATATTATCTGTGTATGTTGTTGTTTCACGAATTTTTTTGCTGCATTCAAAGGGTTGCATTAACTTATACAAAATCCATACATACATACATACATACATGCATATACATCTTACATATACAAAACATATTTATTATTTATAAAAAAAAAAAACCCAAAACAAAACAAAAACAACATTTAGAAATCGAACTTTGTAACTAACACAAAAAAAAAAAGCAAGAAAATAATATTAATTATTAAAAACAAAAAGCAAACATAACTAAAAGTCTTGTGTGAAGATGTAGAAGAAGAGCAAATGTAATTTGCTGCGCCAAATCTGTTGAAACCATTTAATGAAAGATAACAAAAATTAATTTTTAAAAATGTATTTTTAAATATTAAAGTATATATATATAGTAAAACAAAATATAAAAACATAAAAAAAAAAATACAAAGAGATCGTGTCGGAAACAAAGAGCAAATATTGTGAAACAAAATTATGAATTTCAATTACTAAAACAAAAAAAAAAACAAAAAAACGAAAACCATTTAACAAGCTAACAACAAATTTGGGATCAGTACGTCCTACTATAGCCATGTTATACATATATACAACTACAACAACAACAAACACTAAGCAACACAACAAAATGAACAAGCAAGTTTAAAATAGTAACTTAAAATATGTATAACGCTATAATATATATATATTATATATATGTATATATATATACATATATATATCGTCTGATATGCCGCAATAGGTTAACTGCAGGCGTTTAGAGATTTATGCAATGCAATGAAATGAACAGCACAGACACAAAACAGAACAGCAACTAATCCTTATTTATAAAATATAAAACATAAAAAAATCGTAAAACATACACAACAAAAAAATGCAACAAAAAAAAACAAATACATATGTGCTTGAATACGAAAGAAAAAAAAAACAAAAAAAAAAAAATTTAAAAAAAAACGCAAACTATATAAGTCAAATAATAAAAAAATAAATACATATTTCAATAAAGGTAAAGAAAATTGTGTTTAACTGGGAAATCAGAATAGAATAATAGAAAATTAGTTAAGTAAATAAGGGAAAATTAGATAAGCTGCAGAGAAACTTTTGGAAAAGACGAACTTTCGAGCGCAGCTAAAAGTTGGTTAAAAAAGCGAGCAACGCCGGGTAATTTCCTTAAGTAAGCTTGAAAACTCTTAGTTAAGAAAACAAAAAACAAGATCTTTTGTTTTGTTTTTGGTTTCTTTTTGTTTTTTTTTTTGTTTTTTATATATATATATATATTTATTTATAAGAATAATTTAAATCTGCTTAAGATTTCCGGGTTACATGACATGACTATGGTATGGTATCGCATTTTGACGCTCCTTAAAACTCGATTTGCATTTTTTTTTATTGACTTTTGACTCCTATTTGTTTTTTATTTATTTTTTTTTTCGCTATGCTATTTTCTTGATTTGAATTTTTGTTTTAACGCTGATGTTCTCTTAAAATTCAAATATTTCATAAATAGTATTTTGTTTATACGTTTCGCTTGAGGTTATGTAATTTTTTTTTTTTTAATTATATGTTACTTAGAAGTTTACGCTTGCATTGATTTGTTTATAGTGAATATTGCATTGATTTTCGATTTGTTTGTTTTTTTTTTCTTCTATGCCTTTGCTTTCGTTTACGCATGATTATATCGCCTATATATATATATATATATATATATATATATCGTAATATCGCTTAGTTTTGGTAGATATACTAAATGTCAAAAGATTGCGTGTAGGTTTGAGAACTTTTTTGACGAATTAAAAAACCGATTAATTGCATTATACAATAAAATATATATATATATATATATATATCTATAAATTCTGTAAAAATGATTTATCCGTAATACAAACTTGGGTATTCCTTGATTTTCTCTCTCTTATTTTATTTTATTTTTGAAAAAGAATTTCTGCACCGGTATTTTAATTGCATAAACTTACAAATATACTATTACAAAAAACATTGAGTTTTGTATAAAAAATCGAGGTAAACTTTGATAGTGCATCGGATTTGCTTTGGTGTTTTTTTTTATTTTTTGTATTTGGTAATATTGCTAAAACGGTTAAGAAAACTCAGGGCCAAGTCACTGAATTGGCATCAAAGGCATTTTATAATAATGTCTATAATGTGTGCGGCATGAATTTGTGGAACGATTTCTGTGTATTTACTCATGATTGCCGATGCACCACGTAAAATTGTTTGCCTTTGCGCTCTGGGGCGCTATGAGCCTGTGCGTGTGCGTGTGTGTGTGTTGGGGTGTTAATGGTTCTTCTCTTTTGTTTGGTAAGAGAGCATAATATAAATTTTTAGTTCATTCGGGGTGGGCAATTATTTGTTACGTTAAGTATATTTCTCTTGCGCTTTTTGATTTTAATTCGCTGTTTTTTTTCTTTTTTTTTTTGGTTTTCTTAATAGGAAGTAAATACGTCTTAATATACGTGTTTATATAGCTATATATTTGATATAAATGGGCTGTGCTTAATTTGTTTGCTTTAAATAGTGTGAGAATTTGACGATGTTTCAAATATATATATTTATTTTTTTTTTTATTATTAAATATTTTCTTTAAAGAGAACGAACGAATTTTTTACGCCTAATTGCTTGTGCTGGCTACGCCAAAAATGGGTGTGCGTGTGTGTGTGTATGTGAGTGTGTTTATTGGGCTGCTAACTTAGCGTTAATCTAGATGAGGTGTGTGTGTGTGTGTGTGGGTGGAGAGGAAGGGAGGGGGGCGTGGTGCTCTTAAAGCGAGTTGGAGAAAGTCATATATATATATAGATATATATAAATATTTATATAGATTGAGAGAGAGAGAGAGAGAGAGCTTCAAATTATGCTTATGATTTATCAGCTGCCTTTTGCTTTGTTCTGGGATCATATCATCATCATCATCATCATCTTCTTCATCATAATCAGCAAGGCGACAGTTGCTATCGCTGCTCCTCCGGGCGGGCATCACACTGTGTTTTAGGGGCGGGCGGGGGCGTGGCTCCCTAGACGCTATTCTTGGAGACAAACTCACGCAATATATCGCCAGCCATTTCGATGTTGTTGCGCGAGATGCCCAGCGCCGTGATGGCATTCTCCTTGGAGTAGCCGGCGTTCATCAGGCGCGCTATATACTCCAGATTGATATTCTCGTAGGGCACAGTGCCGGCACAGTCTTTTTGATTGATCGTCACGTTCGCATAGAGCAACGGCTGTTGGGCAGCTGGCGTTGGCTGCTTCAGCGTCATCTTCTTGCCATTGGCCAGCGCAGCGGCTGCCGCCAGAGCCGCCGCACTGGTCGTTGTGGTGCACAGTTGCGTATAGTGCGAACTGGCCGCATCCTGGACTCCACTGCAGCCACTGCTGCTGCTGCTGTTGCCGCTGCTGCTGCTGTTGTTGGCGGGCAGCGTGCCGCGCGCCTCCAGCGGACGTGTGTCGATGACGCCGCTGATGGTCTCCGCCGGTCCCACCTCGACCATCATCTCGTCCAGCAGCGACAGCACCGGCGACGTGGTGCTGCTCGCAATGCGCTGCTGTCGCATCAAATCCTCCGCCAAGGTGTCCACGCTGCTGCTCACGTGCGGCGGTATGGGCGGCGCCGTTGTCAGTGGCGGCACATTGTCCAGGCTGCACTGGATGTTGTCGATGCTCTTGCTGCTCGAGGGTATCGCGCTGTTTGGCTTGACGGGCGTCTCCATGCCGGGTGATTTGCGCGGCGGCAGCGGCGGTGCCACAGCAGCAGCTCCTCCTCCTCCTCCACCAGCTGCTGCTGCTGCTGCTGTTGCGCTGGAGCTGGCGCCATCCTGCAGATTCTGTAGTATGGCATAGGAGCTAATGGAGGCCGTGTCGCCGGCCGAGCCGCTGTCCGTTTTGCTGGGCAACTTCTGGCCATAGGTCGAGTTGATCACACTGGAGCCAATCAACGGTGCGCTCATCCGATTTGTTGTCTTCTGCGTGTTGGAGCTGCTGCTGCTGTTGTTGTTGCTGCTGCCGCTGCCATTGCTGATGACTGTGGCGGCAGGCGGCGCCGAGGGCTGCGGCTGCTGCTGGTTGCAGTTGGTTGTGGAGGAGGAGCCGCCGCTGATGCTGCTGCTGCAGCTGCTGCTGCCGCTGGGCAGGCTGAGAGCTGGCGTGCCGCCGGCATAAAGATCATTTTGCACTGCCATCAGGCTGGGCGTGGTGCTGCGTCTGCCCAGGCGCGGCGAGGTGTGCGGACTATGCTTCTCCACGGAGGACTGTGACGCAGCCGAGGTGCTGAGCGCGTGCAACGACGAGGTGGCTATATTGAAGTCGCCCATATCCTGCAGGATGTGGAGTATCTGGTCAGTTGAGATCAGGGCTTGTGGTTTGATAGCTTTTTTTTTTTTGTTGGGATTTGGTTAAGAAGGCGCATGCCCCTAGAGCAACAAGGCGGCAAGTCAAAAGTTTTGCTGGACATGCACAACAACAAGGATCAAAGAAAGGAGCAAGAACAACAACAACGCAACAACATAACTGTAGACAAGAAAATATAAACATAAAACTATTCCACAAAAAAATATAAACAAATATAAAAAATTATTAACGTAGCAGCACGCCAAAAACAATTAAAACCAATATTTATACACATATATATTATATTTTTTTTTTTGCTGTTCAGTTTTTCTTGTTCATTTTAGAATTAGGCATATTTAAAAACTTATTAAGGAAATCAAAAGTTTAAATTTAACACTAAGAACTTTATGCACTTGCATGTATATATATATAAAATATATATATATATATATATATTTAAATTGCATTGTATTACAATTAAAACATAAATAATTATTAATTATTAATTGAAATAAACTAAGTCGATGTATGCTGAGGCCTATGTTAAGGAAACGAGCTGAGCCGAAAGACTTAAATAATGATTGATAAAAACGAAAGCACACACACACGCACACACACACACACACACACACACACACACACATACACAATGTTTTTAAATGTTAATTTGTTTTTTGCTAATACTTGAAATGTTTTACATAAATTCTGGCCTAGGCTTGTGACAGTTTAGGGCTAGCTAACTACAATAATAAAATAATAATTATAATAATAATTATGTTAATGTTGATTATACATACAATATGCAATTGGCCGCGACCATTGTTTTAGCCTTTGTTTTTTTTTAAATATTATTATTAATAAATTACAGTCTTAGAAAACACAAATACATATATCTATATATCATATATATATATATATATAAATAAACTCTAAATGAAAACCGAATTGCAAAACTAAAACAAACACAAAAAGTTATAAATCATGAACTAAACATATCTTTGGAAGTATCAAATCATAAACTAAAAAAAAATACCATACGTTTTATGTTTTCATATGTAGGGGAGAGGGGGTACGGGTTTCGAATACAGGGTATTTTTTGTTTTTTGCTTGTGGTACAATAATAAAGATGACACTAATAACTAGGTATTTACAACAGTTTAAAAGGGGGTAATACAAATATTTATATAATTTTCTGCTTTTTTTTTTGCGCTTAATGATAGTCGAGTTTTGAGAATTGCTGCATATACTACGCGCAACTGATGATAATAACACAAACTATTCAAATGAATCATAAACAAAGGCGAGCGAGCGAATGAATGAAAGAAGAAGGGAAAGAAGCAATCAACAAAACGAAACAAAACAACGAAACAGAGTGCACAGACAAAACTGATAGAAGCGAGCGTGGTTGATAATAAAAACAACAGAAAAAAAAACGAGCCGCTGATGAGTAACTTCCGCTCAGCGCGCATGAATACATACATACATACATAAATAAATAAATACATACAACAAGCATATGCATTATATATATACATACATATTAAACACTACTCTACAATTGGATTTGTTGCTCGTCGTCTTGTGTGCGCACTGCTGTTAGTTGCAATGAAAATTGTAGCTAATAATTTAAATCAAAATCGCTAAACATTAAACTTAATATAGAGTAGAACGTCTATCTATATATCTATATATATATAAATGTATATATAAACGAACCAAACTTGATATATATATATATATGTAAACGTAATAAGATTATATGTATATATGTATAAGAGAGAGGCAGCACAGGCGGGCGGCGCGGGGCAGGCGTCAAAAGGCTTTATTTTGATAAGCGCTGCACTAAACTATACCTCTGTATCGTCATCGTCCTGCTGCAGTTGTCGTCCATTCGTTGCATTCCGATTGTGCTGCTTGCGCGGATCGAAGGCATCCACAACGATCTGTTCGGTGCCCTTGATCTCCGCACGACAAAACGGGCAGCCCTGCAGCATAAAGCGTATTAGAATTAAGTTTTTTATAATTCATTTTGCACACTCCGCTTACCTGTCCCTCCGAGTCCACCTGCCAGGCGGTGAGACAGGGCGTGCACAGCAAATGACCGCAGGGCTCGATGCGTATATCCTTATCGTTCTCGGCGCAGATTTTGCATAGCTGAAAGGTGCTGCCTGCAATTGCGTGAAAAGAGAGTATTTAAGTTTCGTTAAGGGGCAACGTTCAAAGGCAAACTTACCCATTTCACAGTACAGCTCGTATTGCTCTTGTGTGACCGTTATGTGATCCTCGGTTGGACTTTGCACGGCAGACGACAGATCCGGATTGTAGGCCTGGCCATCGGGATATAAGTAAAAGCCCTCGCTAAAGGCAGAGAGAAAACAGTAACAATTAATTACAATAAACTACAAATTAAGCAGGAAATAGAAGCAGTTAAAAAATACAATTAATAGCTATAATAAATACGAGCAAGTTTAAAAGTTAACATGGATGCGGCACACGGACGTGCACGCGATGCAGGCTTAAAGCGCAGCGCATGCAGCATAGCTAAAAGCTCACTAATACAAGTGCATGCAGTTACCAATGCAGAAGCACATTTAACTTTAAGCAGCATTTTAGCGGAATATCATGGTCCTTACCGATGCCCATCGAGCAGCGCCTGGCACAGCGATTTGTTTTGCGGTATTGTTTGCAATATTTCGCCATCTGCCGTCACGTAGCCAATGGCCCATTGGCCGAGGCGTGTGCAGGATAAACGAAACACATAGCTGCCTGCCTTGTGTATGTAGCGCTGCAGGCGCGCCTTCACCTCATCGTAGGTGAGAAAGGCCACATAGCCGGGATGGGTGACGGCCAGGATTTGCCAGTTGCGTAGCAATGTGACCCACGGCTGAAATAGACGCGTGAATACATCGAATTCAAAATTCGATATATAATCATTGCACGTCAGATCTATGGTCGTTTTCAGGGCCATCGCCTCCAGCCCTGACGATATCGGATGCACCTTATTCAGCTCCTGACGGAATATCTTCCAAGGCACCAATGTACTACAAAAAATAACAGTATTTATCACTGGATGTTGGTTGGGATTAAAGAGTGTTTGCGTTACCTGTTGCCAAAGTTACTCTTCCAGAAATCGGCTGCATCCGCCTTGGTGATTCGAAACTGATCGCCCGCAAAGACACCGTTGGGAAAGATAGCTTTCAGCTCGCTGAGCATGTGAGAGAAGACCAAACTAAGTTTGGTCAAGTTGCGGCGATAATGTGAGTTCTCGTCAAACATTTTCTCCTTGCCCTCCTTGAACAATTTGATGGCCTGTTTGCATTTACGCATTAGATTATTGATGAAGACATTGAAGTGCTCGTTGGCGTGCAGCAGATGCATTTGATCCTCGTTTTTGGAATATATTAAACGCAAACGCTGATACGTGTCGGGCAGTATGTCCAATATGAAGGGTGGACTGTTTTTTAAATTCATTTTCGGCTGTTGACACAATTTGACCACCTTGTCCATCAGTTTCCACGTTTTCTCCAGCGTCTTCTTGTCCGTCGACAGGCGCTGTGAGACGCATGCCTCTGAGATGGCTCCATGTAATTTGGAAAAGATTGAAGGAAAAATTTTTGGTTGTGATTGTATGCGACTGGTGCGACTCGTCGCCATCTTTTCTCTCAACACTGCTGCGCTGCTGCTGCTGTTGTTGTTGTTGTTGTCGTTGTTGTTGGTGTGGCTGTTGGTTTGGGGAGTAAAGTTGTAGGTTTCACTCTTCACACACACACGCACATGCACACACATACACTCACTGCGCTGCGTTACAGCGACAACATGAATTTTCAGCTGCCCAAACAGCCAGCGCACCCGCAATTATCAAACGTTCACTTTGCCTTTGCTACTGGGCATCCGCATTTGCACAATTTGCGCGTTTCGTAGTTAGTTATAGACGATTTTTTTTCCCACACAATTCTCCGACTTTTTCAATGAGTGTGGCTGTGTGCGTACATGTGTGTGCCCGTGTGTGTGTGAGTAGCGATGTTAAACAGAACTATCGATGATTACGCTAATATCGATAAGCGTGTACAGCCACTCTGCTGGCAGTGCTGCAAAATCTGTGTGCAGCGCAAATTGGTGTTGCCAGTGTTGCCCCACAGAATTGCAGACTGTAGTGCGTGAGCTGTTACTTTTCAAAAATACGATAACGGGCTGTGCATATATTTGTACCAAAAATTAGCATAACATTGGTAAAAACTAGAAACGGAGAAAATCAGCAAATAACGGTGCATGCTAGTGGCTCATCAAAACAAAATTGGCATTTCATGGCATTTTCACAAGTGCAATTCACAACAACCACTTTTGATTTTGCCATTTTGCCATATAATTTCCGCTTTTACTGCACGGCTCGCACTATCATCACTTTTATATAATACTCGGGCTGTTTCTATGTGCAGCAGGCCTGTGGAAGCCTGTGATTAGAGCGTAGAAAACTCGCACGACCTGCAGAACAGGTGCGTGGCCGTTGTTATTGCCATGCTGCTGCGTTTGCTTCTATCTTTTTTATTATTACATTTTGTTGTTGTTGTTGTTGTTTTTAATATGCATTGGCAGTGCAGCTACAATTTTCACTTTCCATTTTTATTGGCAGGCACAGCCAAAACCAAAACCACGACGACGACGACGGCGACATCAAATCTTGGTTATGGCCAAAAAGAAATTGCAATGCTGCCAAAGGTTTTTACCAGCGTTAGACGCCAGGCTTTCTTTTAATTAATTTTTAAAGTGGTGGTCCGCAGCATTAGTTCTGGGCGGCCGTGGCTGCTGTGTCACGGCTGTCAAATGCATTTTGCCGCTTACATGTCTGGTTGCCCAAAAACTAACTGTAAACATTCACTTACTGACCTCTTTTTTGCCGTTAAGCAGCGAAGTCGGCGGCGGCAGCGGCAGCGGCGGCGGCGGCGGCGGAGGCGGTGGCTGCCGGCTGCACCGCTGCAACACTCAATTTTCTTTATGCACGCGACTCTCCGGCAAAGCTCATGTGCGAGCTTCAGTATCTATTTGTGTACATGTATGTGTGTGTATGTGTGCGTGCGTGTGTGTGTGTGTGTGTGACCCTTATTCGCAACGCCACTCAGGCGTAAAATTTATGGCTTAAAAGTCGACAAGTCTATAAACACAGCTTCCAGCTAGCAACGTCTGCGGCTCTGAGCATCGGCATCGACTCCAACTTCAAACTGCGCGGCTGCGCACTTTCTACGGCGACGAACCGAACAACCCCTCCCACCGCCCGTCCGACCGACCGCCCACCAGATCTTGCCTATGCTATGTGTGTGTTATAATTTCAAATGCGGTTCGCCTTTTTGGTTGCATTTTGCAGCCACTTTTGGCAAATTAAATTTGTACGCAAAACCGATTAGGTTGCAGACAACATGACCAAGTTGTTATTTTAAATACCGACAACTCCATTTAATCAATGGCTAAGCGCAACCAAAACCGACGCTACCAAAGAGCCACACTCTGCCGGCAGCGAAGACGTCGCATTGGCGCACAGTGTGACCAGCTGGCAGCAAAAAGCACACAATTGCCGGTCATGTGAAAACTTCCTGTTTAACATTGTTGTATGTTTAAAGTTTTTTAAATTAATGTAAATTAAATTAACTGTCTACATTTGTACTGTAATTAAATAAAAATAAAATTATTTTAATAAAACGCCACTTATAATATGCACAAAATATATGAATTCAACACAGAACTCAATTTGAATTTATAATTATAAGTACTTTAATTATCAATAAGCTGTTTAAATAATCAATAAATATTACCTTTGTAATTAATAACACCCTTTAACCAATAAAGGCGAAAAATGTATTTTTGTAAATATCTACCATATTTCATGCTCCCCACTGTGCGGCGCCCGACTAACGCCAGCTGCGCAGCTGCTGCGCTGCGACTGCCTTTCACTCATATAAATGGCATTGCAAATTCGAGTGTGAGTGTCATTCAAACCTTTCTCTCGTGTCGTTCGGTACGGCGCAACAACTTTTTGTCGCCAACTAAATTGGAGCTGGAAGCTGCAATCGTCTCCCAGTTGAACCCGCAACAAAAGGCGGCAGCAGCAACAACAATCAAACCCTATAATTTTTATGAATGCGTAAAAAGTAAAGCGCGCGTTTCGTGTGTGTGTCTCTGTGTGTGTGAGAGAGCATAAGTGCGCATGTGTGTGTGTGTGCATGTTCATTCATTGAAAACGCAGCAGCAACAAAAACAACAGCAATAAGTAATGCAGCCGCTGTAACGTCAACGTCAACGTCAACGTCGACGACAGCAGCGCGCGCAACAGCATCCACACATACATACATATACAAGCACATTCACAGCGATCACTTCGCATGCGAAACTCAACGAGCGCGCATCAAAATCAAATTCAAACGGTTACGGTTTACGGGAATAGAAAAGAGTAACGAACTAACGCCAAAGCACTGAAAAGAACTCGAGTACCCGCCCCAAAAGACTATGAAAAGATATTTTGTGTGCATACAATAATAATAAAAAAAGAAAAGCAAAGAGAATAAAGCCAGGCACCAGGCAGAAGGCAACCGCAGAACGAGCGAACGAACGACTGACTGAACAAACGGTAACTGTGGTAAACTTCAAAAGGCACAGTCGTAATTGAAATCGAATTAAAGCAACGTGCAAAAAAACAAAAAAAAAGCAACTTAAAGGCAGGGCGATAAAAAAGAAATTATGCTACATTGTGCGAGAGGTCAAACCGAGACGAGCTACCAGATTATCTAGAGCTTTTGCGTAATTGCGGCGTAAGAAAAATAAAAAGAAAAAAAACCGCAAAGCGTCGCTTAATGTTTAATAGGCAGCGAATTTAACTCATAAAAGGGCACAGGCGCTAAATCCAAATGAGCCAAACGCTAACCACAAGACGTGATAACCGTTAATTTGAGAGCTTTGGCCGCAACGCCAGCGTCGACGTCGACGCCAGCTAGAGCTTGAGCCTCTGCCACAGCTGGGGCAGCCTGCAGCAGTTCTCTTGCACAGGCGTCGCTTGGAGCTACTGTAAAAACTTTCTTTAACGCAACGCAATCCAAGTCGTGTCGTGATCTTTGCACGCCGTCGCATAGCTAGTGTTGAACTTGAGAAGCAGCAGCTACAGCAGCGGCAGCAACAAAAGCAACAACAATAGCAACTGCTTCTATTTCAATTGTTAACGAGCGAAAGCGTCGTAGTCACGCACACACACACACACATATACACACACGTTCAGTTATCTTCGTCTAGCCTAGGCCAGGAAAGTGCAGTCGACAGTGAAAATGATGTGCCCGTTCCAGAGCCGCTTTGGGCTAAAGTTCCAGCGCCAGCTGTTTGGCGCACTGCTGACATGCATGTTAACGGCAACGCTCACCAATGGTAAGTCATATTGGTGTAATACAGTAAAAGCTCGCAAATTGCAAAGCTTTCAATTTAACTGTAAATTGCCAAAAACAAAAGATGCCAAATGCGGAAAAGGAGTTTTTAAGAGCGAAAAAAACTGTAAAAAAAAAAAAACAAAAAAAGCTTAAAATAAATGGCAAAGCTGGCATAACAATATTTTAATTTAATTGTTAATACCATGCGTCAGTTTTAAAGCCTTTTGCATGTATTTATCTTTATATATTATATTTCAAAATGTATTGCTTTTATGCCATAAGGCCTTTATATTTATAACAAAATTTAGTTTGAGGACGTGTGCACAGTTCCACTTTGAGTTAGTTTCAATTTGCGAGCGTTCACTGTACACTAAAAGCTAACTAACCGTAGGGGCCGGTGCGGGGGGCCAATTGTTGCTGTAGAAAGGCCAACAATGTGTCTTCAGCGGCAGCAATTAATATCTAAGGTACGAGTACAAAGTGAATGTAAAACTGACACACATCACAGAGTCGCTCCCTCCCCCCTCCCCCCGCGCACCTTTGGCCCGTGTGGCATGTGCCCATGACCGTATCCCCCTCAGCCGCCCCCCTCAAGCAAACACACAACGTAAAAGCAAAGAGCTAGCAAACAGGCTCGTAAATTTGCCCGTCGTGCACAATTTGTCCAACATTCAAATAAATTCATTAAACTTGCTCTCGTGCACCGCACACACATACACACACACACACTCGCACACACACACACACAGAGCGAAGAGTTGAACCCGGGGCTGGTTGGGCTTACCGTGGTTAGAAAATTGTAAAGTGCAGCAAATAATTACGATTTGATTGGCTCATGAGGTCATCGCATAAAGCGTTTGACCCGTGTCAACAAGTCGCTGCCGGCAATTTGCTTCTTGTTCGACACGATCGTCATTCAATTGAAATCAAAATTCTTTCAGTGCAAAGATCATGACATCGCTTCCATTTATCATCAATTTAAGAGCATGACTAAGTCTGCAGTTGAAATATGAGCACAAGAGTTCAGTTGTCTACCATTGTAGGCATACATATAGTTCTCTATATATAAATATGCTAACTTTAATTGAAATGGGGAAAGCCTAATGTCCTTATAATTAGAACATCATGTCAAATTTATCGCGCAAGTTCATGTTAATTTGGCTTAGTTTAGACAATAGCACCTAAGACCCGGAAAATATTAGTAAAAAATATGAAATATATCTAAATAATATTAGTAAAAAATATGAAATATATCTAAATAATAAAATCAAAATATTATCACAATTTAAATAATATCTATGAGACGCTCGTACTTGTAAGATAGAGAAACTTGATTTAAATAAGTGCAGAGAAACTTAATGCTTTAAATTTTTATATAAAGATATTGAATAATGGGGGAACTTGATTCAAGCAAGATAAAATATTTTATATTAAAATTATCTATATATTAATATATGGGATTCTCGTACTTATAACTTAGATAAACTTGATTTAAGTAAGTCCAAAATAACATATTGTATTTTGAACTTATCTAAGTAAACTTCCAGTACGACAAATTCTTAAAGGAAGTTAATTGAAAGTTGAAAACGCAAATTTCGCTCCACTGTCAATTTCTCCTGTGCTTTATATGAAAATTTGTTTAGGTTTTAGTACAACCTACAACTTTTCTTGGGCTTAAAATAAGATTTTCATGCTGGCATCAATTATTTTGTACTTATAAATGTTTTAAGAGATTAAGAGATTCCTATATTTCTACTTGATTTAGGATGGGCTGCGCTACGACTCATAATTAAAATTTTGGGTATATCTTCATCAAAAATGAAATACGTCAAACGTGGCCCACAAACTTCTATCTACGTGATTCGTTTAATACACTTAAAAAAAAAGAAGATAATCTTTCCTAAATATTGGACAAATGCCAGAAAAACAAAAGCTTTCATATTTAAAAAATAACTTTAAATATATGTTTGGCTAGCTCGAAGTTCGTATTTCAAAAATGGAAAGGTCGTCAAATTTTGAAAAATATTTAAATTATACTAAAATATAGAAGGAATTTTGCTGAGTGTATATGAAAACAACTTGAAGCATTTCGCTTTTTGGACACTGATTTTTCTTGTTTCGCTTTTCATTTAGGAAAAAGTAGTTTAAGTAGGATGCTTACCCCTCCATTTCGTGATGTTCCGCCTGCTAGATAAAGGCGATCTCTAGAAGTTGTTCTCGCACACAATTCACTTGCATTTTGATGGTTTGTACCACTGTGCATCATGATATGTGGGGGCAGCAGCGACAACATGCTATACATGTCTGTGGGCTGTGTCCCGGCCTAAGCCTGCCCAGCATTGAGAGCTGCTGCTGCTGCTGCTGTTGTTTTTGTTGTTGTTTGCCACTTTTGAAAATTATACGTTATGCGATTTTGTTGTTGTTGTTGTTGTTGTTGCAATTGATGGCATCCGATAGCAGGAGCCGTGTCAGCGCTGCGGCTGCACTTGGAATGTGGCACATGGGCGAGAGACAACGCGCCGAGCTGGATGAACCGATGCGGCCCGGCACTTTGGTCTGATGTCTGTATTAATTTCTAACGCCGCTTAATTTTCTCTACTTGTGCTGGGAATGCGACGAGTGCGTCTGGATTAAGTCTTGGCATGCCTGCTTGCTTGCTTGTTTTTTTTTTTATTATTATTATTATTTATCTTTTCGTTTTCTTAACGGAGCTGCTACAAATTGAAATAATGAACGTGGGTTCAATTATCTCGGGCAAACAATCTGCAGCGCTGCTAATAGATTTTCTACTCGGCCCGGCTGCGTCTACGCTTTCTTTGCAAACAAACCCAACACAGCACATCCAAGACAGATGTGGACAGATATTTTCGGCCGCTGCCGCAGGCAATTAGCGTGAAAATTTCACTTGCAGTTTTAGCCTCTAGATCTCTGGACTGGGGATTAGCGAGCGCAATTATAGATGGAGGTCATCTGATATAGTCTCAGCATATGTATTAAATGCCGTGTGCATGAGTGGGTTGTCCGACGTTGGCTCTGATCGCAGCCAACTCAAGAGTCTGTCTACTAACTCCCAAGCTAAACTCGGAATATGGGAATTAGTCAGCGAAACTAATCGTTGGGGCGGTAGACAATGGAGATGGACTCGTGTCACGACTCGGGAAAAACTCTTTCAAGCAATATGCAAAGAAAGCTATACGATTTTAAGTTAATTCTAATTCCCAACTTAAGCTCAGAAATATGGGAATTAGTCAACGGATTTAATGAGGAGCTGCCAATTGAGATGGACTCGTGTCACGACTTAGCGAAAACTATTTTAAACGATATCTATAGAAAGTTTTTTTTTTAAGTGTTTTCCTTCTAAAACCCAAGCTAAGCTCGTAATATGGGAATTCTGCCAATTGAGATGGACTCGTGTTACGACTTGGCGAAAACTATTCAAAACACTTTGTGAAAGAAGCTCAAAGCTCAGCAGATTCTAAATCCTACCACGCACGACATACACGACGCTTTACTTGGCCGAATGTTTTTTCTTAAATTCTTACCAGGTTTCCATCCAGTTTCCGCCAGTTAGAGTGAATGTTCCTCCTGAATGTTTCCACCCATTTTCCATAATTGTAACATTTGAAAGAAGCAGCTCCTGTTGTCAGAGAAGGCTACTCTCTAGGCAAGTGCAATCTTCTAGCTAAGATTCTCTGGAAAAGTTGCAGATAAATTACAGAAAACATTTGAAAATAAATATTCTTATCACATACCGTTCTCGCCTTACGATTATTTATTTATTTTTCGTGCCTAAGCAGCGCGTGCGTGACACGACACGACACGCGGCCAGCTCGATGGGCGAGCAGAGGCCTAAAATCTGAAACGGGCAACTGCGCAAAATGCTTTGTCCACTCGCAGCTAATCCGACATTTGTATGCCCAGCGGCGACTCTTCCGCATGTCGCAGCCTCTCTCTCTCCCTCTCCCTCTCGCTCACTCACTCATTTTCTCTCTCGCTCTCTCCCTCTCCCTTGCAGGCGCCGTTACAGACTCGCCCATTAAGTTCATTAAATTGCCCACGCAGGCGCCTGTGATACGCTATCGGAACGCGGATGCTGCGCCGGATTCGCTGCTGATCAACTATCGGCAGGATGCACAGCCGGAGCTGTCCGCCACGCTGATGCAGGCGCCGGGCGCAGCGGCCGCCGCACTGGAGAATCTGCTGCAGGAGGAGGCGGATCAGCAGCAGCAGCTGAGCATGGGCCGCCAGCATAGGGCCAGCGCAACGAGCAGCTCCAATGCCAACAACAACAACAACAACTGCCCGCGCTCCTGTCCGCCCAGCTTGACGGTGGGCGCGGAGCCCGTCTGCGGCAGCGACGGCCTCATCTATGCCAATCTGTGCGAGCTGCGCAAGAAGACCTGCACCCGCAATGGCGTCTCCCTGATCAAGGATGTGCGCGACGGCTGTGAGCGTTCCAAGGGCTCCGACTGTAAGCATCGCTGCAGCACCGAGAAGGATCCCGTTTGCGGCACCGATGGACGCACCTATCTGAATCGCTGCATGCTGCGTGTCCAGTCGTGCCGCGTCGGTCTCGCCGCCGTCAAGCTGTCGCATGTGGGTCCCTGCAGCAATACGAGTGCCCAGCGCGAATCCTGTCCCGTCGACTGCAACAGCGCGCCAAAGGATGGACCCATCTGTGCCTCCGACGGCAATGTGTACAACTCCACCTGCGAGATGAAGCTGCACACCTGCGGCCAGGGCGTCGTCAAGACCAGTCGCAAGCACTGCCAATCGACGCGCATGTGCCGCGAGTCCTGTTGGCGCGTGGCCAGACCCACCTGCGGCTCCGATGGCCGTCTCTATGCCAGTCCCTGCAAGATGCGCTCCACCAACTGTGGCAAGCACGTGTTCGAGGTGCCGCTCTCCTTCTGCATGCCACAGGAACGACACGGCAGCCAGTCGGCGGAAACCTGCCCCACGGAATGTCCTAAATCCGATGCGGATGCAACATCGCAGTACGTGTGCGGCAGCGATGGCAACATCTATTCATCCCTCTGCGAGCTCAAAATGCTCAACTGCGGGTAAGTGGCCACTGTAAATCCGACAAAGAGCTTTAAGGCACATTAAAGCATTATTTCAATGCATTCTGAAGAAAAGCTTTGTGTTTAAGCAAAGCTTTAAAGCAGATTTAAGCTTTAAACTTCGAGTTTTTAGGTGCCCTATTTTTTGATTATCATTGCAAAACTGCAAAACGAGCTTTTAAGCACATTAAAGCTTCATGTAATTTAAAGTTTAAACAAAGCTTTGTGTTCAGTTGCTTACCCGAAAAGCTTTAAAGCATGTGAAAGCTTTAAACATGGAGCTTTACCCCATCACATTTTTGATTATCACTTTTAAACTTTATCTGTGCAGACCCCAGCGCAAGTCCATCCAGAAGATGAGCATGGACAAGTGCAAGAATCGTTTGACTCGCTGCAAGCAGCTGCCGCCGTGCAAGGACTTTAACAATCTCTTTGGCTCCATCTTCAGCTCGAAACGCAACGACAAGTTGTGCGGCACAGACGCCAAGACGTATAACAACGAGTGTGAACTGGCTCATGCCACCTGCCTGTAAGTGCCAGAGTCCAGAGTCCTTTCCCTGTAAAATTGATTTGTATTCCTTTCGTAGACGCGGCGTCAATCTGGCGCATATTGGACCCTGCACGGATCTGAATACGCCCGCCAAGGACTGCGGCGATGCGTGCACGCGTTCGGATCTCGAACAGCAGCCGGTGTGCGGCTCCGATGGCAACACGTTCGCCTCCATGTGCGAGTTCAAGCGACGCACCTGCAATCTGCGCGTGGTGCCTGTCTCACTGAAGAACTGCGCCCTGACCGCCGACTGTGAGTCCGACTGCGATGCACAGCCGCCAAATTTCGTGTGCGGCTCGGACAACAAGTTCTACAAGTCCGAATGCCATATGCGCAAGGAGAACTGTGGCAAGCATGTGTTTGTCGTGCCGCTGAAGCGCTGCCTGGCCGCCTTCCAGTTCAAGGGCTGTGCCCGCATCTGTCCCAGGGAGTTCGAGCCGGTCTGCGGCAGCGACAATAAAACATATTTGAACGACTGCTTCCTGGACATTGAGAATTGTCGCACCAATAGCACGGTGGGTGTGCATCACTATGGCGCCTGTGGACGCCCCGAGGCGCCCTCAACCAATTTCCTTTACTAGGGGCGTCATTTACAATTTTACATGGCATTTAATATTTTTAGGCTACAGTCTATTGCGTATTGATATGTAATATTTTTTTAAACAATATTTATTGTGTTGGAATTAAAAAGCCGAACGAACGTACAAAATGGGGAATGCTACAGGTTGGACTCCTAGGCGGAGTCATCAAAGAGCTTGCTAAGCATGGCATTAATCTCATGTGGTCGATACTTGACATATTTATCCGGATTTTTGCTGAACTGCACCGCAGCATACCTAGAAATATCAAGAGTTAGCTGGCGCTTACTTATGGATACCCCACATTGCTTACATCTCGAAGAAGCGATTGTAGTTGGGCAGTATGTGCTCGACATTGTCGCGTTTGATGCCCTCGCGCAGTATGACATCGGGTATGGAAATGCCGCGCTGTATTTTGCACGCCTCCTCAAAGTCCTTGTTGAAGTTCTGCAAGGTTAGAGTTAAGTATAAGCAAAGTTGAGCTTAACATTGGTTTAATTTAATGTGCATACCGAGAAACGCTCCTTGAGCACGCTGCGATCCTTGTCCTTCACTTTGCCGGCCACTGGCTTGGGCAGCTCCTCCAGCGAATAAATGCCCGAGAGCATCTTGGACCAGGTCTTCTGATAGCTCGTCTTCAGCTCACGTATCATTTCCAAATAGCTGTGCTCACATTCTGGCTCCGCCAGCGTCACCAAATCAATGAGATTGGAACGTTGCAAGGATTTGAGTATATAGTGTATGTTATTCAGACGGAATAGATGCTTGGTGGCCTGGTCATTGTACTGCTCGCACTTGTTCATAATGGACAGATTGAGCTCCGCCAGCGCTTTCTCTGCCAGGAGAGGAAAGTAAATAAGAATAAAAGCAAATGAAATCTGAAACAGAACTCTCACTTATGTAGATGGCCAGCAGCGCCTTGTTGCGCTCCTCGCCGGGCAGCGCCTTCTTCATCAAAATGGTGTCCAGCTGCGTGGAGTAGAGCACATCCTGTGCCAGTATCGCGCCAATTACATCGAAATGCTCGTACAGATGCTCGATAAACCAAATCGTGTTGGAGGTCAGCTCGTGCACGGTCGCATCCTTGGGCACATTGCTCTGGCCCACAATGTTTGTGCTCGACTCGCCCTTGACCACATCCAGGAAGTGCTCCAGCGCTTTGGCGCCCGTCTGCTGCAGCTTGTTGAGCACCTTGGTCAACTGTTCGCGCTGTGCCGCATCGTAGGTGCGCTCAATGTCCGGCTGCAGCAGGATGACACGCTTCAGCGCCGAGAATATGCCCAGCGCTGAGGTCCATTCCTTGCGCGAAATGCAGCGTAAGATGCGCTGCGTTATGGCCTCCGCATCTTTGACCACCAGCTCGATGGCATTGTAGGCCAGCCGTGCGAATACCTCATTGTGCTTGGAGGGCGGTATTATGTCGCGCATAATGGCGCGCTCCCAGTTGAGCAGACGCTGCAGACCGAGCAGCATGACCAAATACTTGTCCAGCTCCTGATCGCCATCGAGCAGATCCTCCGAGGTCAGGTGATCGCTGTGCGAGGAGGCCTTCTTAATAGAAAAGCCAGTGGACTGCTCAATGGTCTGCGTGGCGCGCAGATACAGCTTGTTGGCCTTCTTCTCAAAGCTGCAAAAGGAAGATGATTAGTGGAGATTTCTACAGGAGCAGGAACATATTTGTACGCACATTTGCTGCAGTCGCGCCGAGGTGTTCTTCTTGGGCTCATTTTGACGTCCGCTGTGACGTGGTCGCTGCAAGAAACGAACATTATAACTAGGATACAGAAATCAATTAGGCTTAAAGTAGGATTGATTTGATATAAAATATATTTACTGGCGATTTACACAAACATTTGATGAATATCTAAATTGATCTTAATAAATCTTGCAAAACATTGAAAATAAAAGAATATAAATTAAGCATATCAGCCAGCGACAGCTTGTTGGGGACATCCTCTAGAGCTCCTTGAGCGCATCGAGTATGCGGCTGCAGTCCTCATCCTTGCGTACGCCAATATTTTTGAGATCGGCACGCTGCATGGACACCAATTCGATCAGATCAATGTGCGAGTTCTCAAATTTGTCCAGATACGTTTCCAGGCCTACCAGGAGCAGCACTTCCTTCACATTGGTTGCATGATTCAGGACATACGAATGATTCTCAGCCTGGAGCGAGCGACGACGCGACTCCCGGCAGAGGGAAGTTTCCGTGTTGCTGGCGCTCGAATCATCCAGAAAGTTATTCAAGCTATTGTTGCTGTCATCGAGTGGGCCCACCTCCTTGCCGGGTTTCTTGACAGGATTTGCTGGTTGTGTTTGTTGTTGTTGCTGTTGTTTTTTCTTCACTTGCTTCTTGAGGATCATCGGTGATGCCGGACTTTTGTTCAAACGCATATCCATGCGAATTGGCGACAAATTCGGTGAACGCAATTTGCCCACAATGGGCGTGGAGCAGCGCACATTGATGCTGTCCACGGTCAACGTGTTGATATCGCAGCTGCGATTATAGGGTAACTGACACACGTCTTTTGGAGTGCAAAATTCTGCCATATTAATTGTAAGCAATTTACAAAACAAAATACAAATATATTCAAGACACGACACGAGACGTTGTTGAAAAGCATAAAATTAACTATGGCTGCGGCGGTCGCCATTACTGGAAGCTTTTTGGGAAAACTGCCGTTAGGCGCACAGTGTTGCATACACAATTCGAAATTCACAATATCACACAATGATAGGTTACGTCACAAATTTCCCTACTCTTATACTCTTCGATACTCACCAGAGCCTCTGTGCCCCAGCTGCTGCTCTTCTGATGATCCTTGAGCAGCTGCAGGGAACGCAGCACAACCTCTCCACGCTCGGATGCGTAAATGTGTGTATATTCGCGCATATTCTGCTCCAGCCAGAGCGATATGGTAAAGAGCTCCTCGCGTGTGCTCTGCGAGAGCTGGCGGAACGATGTAAACTCATCGCTGGATGAATCATCCTCAATATAAATAAGATCCAGCAGCTCGACAGGTTTTAGTGGCGCGCTGTGCTTCTTGAGCAGCATGCTGTAGTGCTGATTGAGACCTTCGCAACCGTTATTGAACAAGCTGGTGACGTTCTCCAGCTCCACACTTTGCGAATTGTTGTGCAGAAAGTAGTCCATGGCGGCGCGCAGCTTGGCCAGCGCGTCCAGAAAGGCGCCAATGTTGCCCTCAATGGGGCCCTGGTGTATGAGCTGGCAAACCTCCTGGGAGACATCGTAGTGGGAGAGCACGCTCTCCAGGCAGTTCAGCGTGGCCTCCAAGTCTGAAATGCGGGGCGTTTAGTTAATTAATCAGCCAGTGAGTGGCAATATTTTATCAGTTGTTTACTTTGTTGTCGCTTTTGCAGCTGTTCCGTCTCCTGGTAGACGGGCAAAATGGTTTGCTCCAAGTTGCCCAAGCGCTTCTCGAAGATGGTGAGTATGCTGGACATTTGCGTGGACAGATCATGATACTTGTCCACACGATCTTTGAGCAGCACCAAATTGGTTGTTTCCTTTTCCAATTTGTTGTGCGCTTGCAGCGAACTATCCAAATTATTCATTGTTTTGATTTTGCACTGCGAACTCATCAACACTGTTCGGAATCCGGAAAGTGTTCTAAAAGAGAAACAGCTGATGCCTATCGATAGCCTGGCTGTGCCAAAGTCACGTCTATCGATGAGCTTGTGTTATCGATTATATGTCTGCCTGGTTGCCATGGAAGCTATTGCTTTGGGCCAAACAAAACGTAAATAAAATGTAAAAACCTGCAAACGATGCAGCTGCTTTGAATGAAATAAAAATGCGTGGCGTTCTGAAATGGTTGGAGCGCATCGAGTTTCCGAATGCCAAGGATGAGAACACCAGGTACAGCAACCAAGCAGACTAGCCAACCACCTGTGGCGAAATTTCAATTTCTTGCAATCCCTTCCAGCGTACATTCCGTTTGCTACTCGCCCGATGGCAGCCAATTGGTGGTGGCCGCGGGCGAGCGTTTGCTCATCTACGATCCCAACGACGGCTCCTTGCTGAACACTCTGAAGGCGCACAAGGATATTGTCAATGCGGTGGTTTACTCGCGCGATGGCAAACGCTTTGCTAGCGGCGCCGCCGACAAAATGGTCATTGTGTGGTCCCCGCAGCTGGAGGGGCTGCTCAAGTACTCGTAAGTATGGCAACATTGGCATGACATACACTTAGCCCAGCTTTCTTGCCACAGCCACAGTGACTCCATTCAGTGCATGTGCTTTAATCCCGTGTCGCATCACTTGGCCTCCTGCTCGACCTCGGATTTTGCTTTCTGGTCGGCGGATCAGAAGGCTGTGCAAAAGTATAAAATTGGTTCGCGCGTGAATGGCTGCGCCTGGACCAACGATGGTCAGTACCTGATCCTTGGCCTGACCAACGGCAGCGTATCCATACGCAGTAAATTGGGCGAAGAGAAGGGTCGCATTGAGCGTCCTGGTGGTCCCAACAGCTCCGTGTTCAGCGTGCAGTGCTGTCCGGCAAATGGCGCTGGCAATGTGGACACCATTGCCATTGCCGACTGGGGCCAGACGCTGTCGTTTCACACGCTCAACGGACAAATGATTGGCAAGGAGCGTGCCCTGGGCTTCGATCCGCTCTGCATGCAATACTTTCCCAATGGCGAGTTCTGTGTGGTGGGCGGCTGCACGGAGAGCTTGCACTTCTTCACGCGCGATGGCGTTCGCCTGGGCACACTCGGCGATGGCTTCGACTCGTGGATCTGGTCGGTGGCACTGCATCCGAATGGCCAATCCTACAGCATTGGCTGCCAGGACGGCACACTGGCCTGCTTCAACATTGCCTCCAGCACGGTGCATGCTTTGTACCGGGAGCGTTATGCCTTCCGGGAGAACATGTGCGATGTGATTATTCAGCATCTGATGTCGGGTCAAAAGGTGCGCATCAAGTGTCGCGATCTTGTCCAGAAAATAGCCATTTATAGAAACCGTTTGGCCGTGCAGCTGCCGGAGCGCGTGGTGCTCTACGAACTCAGCTCCACAGAGAACCAGCCCATGCACTACAAGGTCAAGGAGAAGATCCAGCAGAAGTTCGATTGCAGCCTGCTGGTCGTGTGCGGGCTGAATATTGTACTGTGCCAGGAAAAGCGGCTGCAGTGTTTGAACTTTGACGGCGCACTTCAACGTGAATGGATCATGGACTCGTTCATACGCTATATCAAGGTGACAGGCGGTCCGCCGGGTCGCGAGGGTCTCATGGTGGGCCTAAAGAACGGTCAAGTGTTTCGCATATTTCTCAACAATTCGCTGCCGCTGCTCATCACGACGGCGGTGTCGGCGGTGCGTTGTTTGGACATCAATGCGAACCGCAGCAAAATCGCCGTTGTGGACGATGCTGGGCGGCTGGTGGTTCGGGATTTGCTCAACGACAGCATACTCTATCAGGATGTGGGCGTGAACAGCGTTACCTGGAACACATATCTGGACACGATGCTCTGCTACACGCACACCAGCGGCGGGCTGAGCGTGCGCGTCGGCAATCTGCCGCCTAGGGCGCCACAGAATATGCACGGCGTGGTCGTCGGCTTGTGTGGAGCGACTGCGTTTTGTCTGCGCGGCAATATTATGCACAATACACCGCTGGCTCTGGGCGCCACCATGTGGCAGTTCATCGAGGCGGGTCTGTTTGAGTAAGTTGCAACTTAAGAATCATATACCCTTTCCTAATCTGCTGCTCCTCTGCTCTAGTGAGGCCTACCAGGTGGCCTGCCTTGGTGTCACCATCAGCGATTGGGAGGGCCTGGCGCAGTCTGCTCTGGAGGCGCTGCACATAAATATTGCACGCGATGCATACGTCAAGGTGCGCAACTTGCCCTGGCTGAAGGTCATCAGCGAGTTGCGCGAGCTGCAGCAGCGCGCCGCAGTGCCCAAGGAGGTGCTTCTCGGCGAGAGCTGCGCATTTGCCGGTAAATTCAAGGAGGCGGCACGTCTGTTTCTCAAATGCGGTCAATCCTCGCGCGCCCTGGAAATGTACACAGATCTGCGCATGTTTGATTTGGCCCAGGAGTACCTCAAGGATGGCAGCGAAGTGGAGAAGCGTGAGCTGGTGCGCAAGCGCGCGGAATGGGCATACTCTGTCAAGGAACCGCGTGCAGCGGCCGAGCTGCTGCTCTCCGCTGGCGAGCATCAAAAGGCCATAGACATTGTTGCCGAACAGGGCTGGGCGGATGTGTAAGCGCCATGCTGAGACCAAGTTCTGTTCTGATTTAATTGATGTTCTGTTTATTTGACAGGCTCTATGACATTGGCCGCCGCTTGAGCCTCAGCGAACGCGACGCCGTGCAGTCGGTGGCACAGAATCTCAAAATGCTCAAAGCTTTGCCACTCGCTGCTGAAATGTTCAAGAAGCTGGGCGACGAGGCGCAAGTAGTGCAGCTGCATGTCGAGGTCCAGGACTGGCCAGAGGCCTTTCGCTTGGCGGAGGGCTTGCCACAGCTGCTGCCCACGGTGCACTACCAGCATGCACAGTGGCTGGCGGAAACGGATCAATTCATAGAGGCGCATCAGGGTGAGAGACTAGACTGGACGATAAGTCTATATGGGGAGCCATATATAACATATTCGTAAACTTCATCTTTAGCTTATCTGAAAGCTGGCCGCACCAAGGATGCGAATCGCCTGCTGAAACAGCTGAGCAACACGGCCATTGCTGAGGAGCGTTATCTGGATGCCAGCTACTTTTACTGGCTGCTGGCCAAGCAGTATCTGGACATCTATCACGAGAAACCGTATGACTTGGCCTGCCTGTGGTATTGTAATCCCTCTCAAATGCTTCTCTCTTCCTTTTTATAGGGAACAAAATGCCATTGACCATCATCTGAACGAGTACAAAAACCATTTGCGCATTGCCAAGGTCTACTATGCTTACAGCGTCATCTACAACTATATGAAGGAGCCATTTACAACTTACTCGCCCGTCAGCCTCTTCAATGTGAGCCGTTTCATATTCAACGAAGTGGAGAACAAGGGCGCCCCTAAGGGCGTCAGCATGTTGTATGTCTAACGTATATATTTATAGAGAAATGTGAAGAAACGTACAATTGTACAATTACAGCTCGGTCCTGTTCACGCTGGCCAAACAGGCCAAGCTGCTGCAGGCCAACAAGCTGTGCCTGCTGGTCAATAAGCGTCTGCAGTCGCTCAAACCACCTGCGGGCGTCCAGGAGCAAATCGATGTGAGTTATCATTATATACGAGAGATTGTCCTGACTAATCTGTGGCTGCAGTCAACATATATACATGTATGTATGTAATACATACTATGTATACATGTATGCATGCATGTATGTACGCCTGTATGTACATATGTTTGCATGTATGCTTTTATATTTGCATGCATGTATGTTTTTATATTTGCATGCGTGTATGTATGCGTACGTATACGGTTGTGTGCATGGCTGCATATATATGTATGCATGTTTGTTTGTATGGATGATACAACCAAACATATGTACAGGCATGCATACCTACATATATATGCAGGCATGCACACGCACATGCATACATGCACACACCTACATACATACATACATCGACATACATACATACATCTACATACATACATACATACATACATACATCTACATACATACATACATACATACATCTACATACATACATACATACATCTACATACATACATACATACATACATCTACATACATACATACATACATACATCTACATACATACATACATCTACATACATACATACATACCTACATCAACATACATACCTACATCTACATACATACATACACTTACCCGCCCTGCCTCCTCCTGCGCCACCGGCTCCAGCTCCACCGCCTCCTGCTCCACGGCCAGCAGTCGGCCAACGTTTGCTGCCTTGCTAAATTTTAGCAAGGCCTACTTAAATTCTTGAGAATCGAGGAGGAGAGCACTTGGTAAAAATTCGTTTTATTTAAATGTGCAGCATATAGACAAATTAGCGTGGCCTGCGTTTGATATTAGAAAACAAACATACATGCATACATACATACATGCAAGCATACACTAACACACACACGCCCACACACATATACACACATACATATATATATATATATATATATATATATAATACTTATGTGCCTTCGCACAAAATAATTGTATTTTATATATTCACAGCTAAATTTCCTGAACAGCAAGGCCTGCAAGAGCGGCTTCAACGATCCCGAGGAGCTGCTGCCCTTGTGCTATAAGTGCTCCAACTACAGCCAGCATTTAAATAACAATACTTGCCCCACCTGCAGACAGGATTACATATTTTCCTTTGTATCATTTGGTGAGTGGGTCGAAAAAGACACAACTTTCAATGATTACAATATCCTTGTTGCCTTGCAGAAATCTTGCCTTTAGTACAATTCAATCCGGAGGTGGACATTACCGATGCCGAGGCGGAGCGTTTGCTTCTGGCGCCCACCAAAAATGCCGAGGATGCGGATCCATTTAATGAGGATGTGGCCAGCGCGCTGCCGTTGAGCTTAGATCGCAATGCATTGCGCGCCATTGATCCCAATCATGTGCTGATACTGAAGCGCCAGGATAAGCACATACGCAACATATATTATCGCAATATATTGCCCGATCTGCAGGTTACCTACTGCCCGGAGTGTCTGCTGGTAAGAGGCGAGAGCTTCTTAATGCTTCAAATATTTCCATTTACTGTTTTGCTTATTTGCTAGCTTTTCTATGCGGAGGACTTTGAGCTGCAGGTGCTGCAAAAGGGCCATTGTCCGTTCTGTCGCACTTCGTCGGACAAGCTGCTGGAAGACTTTTGAGTGCAAAATAGAAATAAGAATTGTATTGTTAGCTTATGTTCAGGGCTGTACGCGATGTATTTCCCATATCCGTCCCACAAATATAAACTAATTACAAAATTGTTAACTAACAGTTGAAGCCTCTCTTTGGTCATTTGTTGTCTTAGGCCCACGTTTCCTCCTGGTAGCGTCGCTGTTTTATCAGCTGCTCCATATGGAGCGCATCGTTGTCCAGTGCCTCAATAAATGCTTCTCGCACAGCTTTTGGCATATTGTTGGAGCTGCCTGCCACATAGACATAAGCATTCTGCTCTCTAATCAGCTTGGCCAAGTGCGCGCCGCACTCTTTGATCAGATGCTGCACATACACCTTGTTCTCCTGGTCGCGCGAGAAGGCCACATGAACCTCCACGCTTTGATCAACCTGCCACGCCTTAAAGTCTTCCATAAAGTGGTAATCTTTGGCCTTGTTGCGACAGCCAAAGAACGCAACAAGCGGACCCGTATTGTGGCCCAGCTTGTGCAGATGCAGGCGTTCCTGTATGATGCTGCGAAAGGGCGCAATGCCTGTACCGGGGCCAATCATGATTAGTGGTGTTGCCGGCTCTTTGGGCCAGTTCATGGTGCCCGGCTTGATAGCGGCGCGTAGCTCCTCGCCCGCCTGTAGGCCCTTTAGCCAGTTGGAGCACAGGCCCAAGCGCGGCGTATGCATTATGGTCTTGTAATTGACCACAGCGACTAGCAAATCGAGCGTGCCGCTTGCGGCGGCCGACGCAATGGAAAAGCTGCGCGTTTGTATTAAAGGCATCATTTCGAATAGCTGCGATAGTGTCAGCCTGGACATGGCATGCCGGAAATCACTCAACAGCTCCAAAAGCGTGCGGCGCGGCCTGTTCACATAGGCTATCAGATCGTCGAGACCTTCCGCGCTGCAAAACTCCAGCAGTTTCTCGCGCTCCATCTCATCCTCGCAGTTCTGTGCGAGCACCTCAAGCAAGCGTTGCCTGGGTTTGGCGCTCAAATCCCAAATGTACCTGGCTGCCTGCTGCAGCGTTATGGGCGCGGCGTAGGGCAAAGGCAGCGGCAAATCCGCGTGAGCGCTGCTCACTTCGACCACGGTGCTGGCATCAAAGTCGAGCTCATGTTCTTTGAGCAAATCAAAGAATTCCTGAACATGTTCGCGGCTATTTTGTGGCTGCACTTCGAGCACATCGCCAGGCTGCCAGGTGGGCGTCTGCCCGCTGCTCAGTCGCAGCAAACGCACGTCCTGAAAGTGATCCTCGGCTGTGGTACGCGTGTTTTCTATTAATTTGAAAACGTGTGCCTCCTGCCGCTGAGTCCAATGCAGGCGCTCCTCACTCAGAGCCGGCTGTTGCTCCAGCACACGCACCTTCCACCGCTTCATGATCTCCTGCTCCGGCTGCTTGCGCACAGCCGTTGTGCTGCTCAGTGTCTGCCATAGATCCGCTATCCAGGCAAGCGATGTGCCCAAGTGGCCGTAGTCATGCTGATCGTCACACAGGCCAAGCTGGCAAATAGATTTGGCGCCAAGATTCAGCAGGCGCTTGTGCAGCTTTTTGGCTGCATAATTGAATTTCGGGTAGCTGGAGTCACCGAGTCCAAGGCAAGCGAATTGTAGACCCTCCAGTGAGTTGCTGGGCAAGCTGCGTTTGAGTAGAAAGCGCCAGGCTTGTCTCATATTGTCGGGCTCCATGCCATCGCCGGTGGTGGCCACCACAAAGATCACGAGGCGCTCCTCTATCAGCTGCTGCATATTGTAGTCCTCAAGAGAGAGTACTGGGCCCTGGAAGCCCCATTGTCGCGATTCACGCCATATCTGTTCAGCCACATCCTGTGCGGTGCCAGTTTGACTACCATAAAGAACCAAAATACGCATAATTTTTAATAAAAAACAATTTCGAAAGGGAATGTAATTCCAATTGGACACAAGGCCGGCTTGTCAGCTGTTTCAAGCACAATGCTCGCAGTGTGCAAGGTAGCGTCCAGCTAAAAGCATTTAAATTGAGAAAGCGCACGCAATTGTATATAATTTGATAATGTAATTTAATTTAATTTGATTTAAAGCTAATCAAAGTAAAATTTGATTGAAATTAATATATTTTTATACACATATTAAGCATTGTATGTTCAAGTTACCCCAAATCGACTGTTAAGCTGTGACGTCACAGCAGATTCGATAACGCGACTCTTAATGCCTCTGACATCTGCTTCGCTGATATCGATAGGTAAATCGATAAGTTTGCATGCGCGACAATCGTAAACTGTTTTTTAACAACATGGTTTCACGTTCTTTCGGTAACTCGCACAAAAATTGCGAAATTTAAACACGTGAGTATCCAAAATCCAACTGGCAACTATGGCTAAAGCGCACTCCGATATCCAATTGAGTAAACAGCTCTCCTGGTTGCTGCGTCATGGCGCACAGAAGGAGGGACTCACAATACAGCCAGATGGATATGTGAGCGTTGCGGAGATTTTACAGCATCCGCGCTATGGCGCTCACTACAGCATAGAAAAGTTGCGGGAAATCGTGGCTGCCGATGCGAAGCAGCGTTACAGAATGCGTTGCAATCCCCTAACCGGAGCCGAGGAGATACGCGCCAATCAGGGCCATTCGCTGGCAGCTGTGCAGGCTGAGGCATGCCTGGAGCGCATAAGCAGCATTTCCGAGCTAGCCGAGGTGCATGTGGTGCATGGCACCTACTATAAGAACTGGGAACAGATCAAGACGGAGGGCCTGCGTCGTATGCAACGGAATCATGTGCACTTTGCCGTGCTAAGCGATCAGAGGGATGCGATAGTGAGTGGCTTTCGCGGCGATTGCCAGGTGCTCATCCATTTGAATGTGGCCAAAGTGCTCGAAGATCAGCTGCAGCTGTTCCGCTCCAGCAACAATGTAATACTCTGCGCCGGCATCGATGGCTGCATAAGTCCGCGGTATTTCGAGCGCGTCATTGATAGACGCACGGGCAAGTCCTTGACATGATCCAAACCGATTTTGGTTGGATATAGCAGTGTATATCGTATGTGCTGTGCCTTAGACTTTAGTTTAAATGTGCCCTGTAAATAAAATGTACTAAGTTTGTGTTTTAATCAGTTGCTTTTAAAATTTGGTTTTTACAGAAATGAGCGACTTGGAAACTCGCACAAGGCCGTCCCAGGACGAATCGGTGCACTGCAAGGTGTGCGATGCGCCCTTTAAAACGCTGCAGGATTGCCTGGCGCACGAGTTGCTTAAGCACACGATAAAGCCACAGAAAAAGCTGCGCAAATGCTTAGATGCCATCACAAAGCTATTTGCCAGCGAGCAAATCCAATGCGAACGTCGCGTGCTGAAGGCGACACTCGCCCAGGCACCGGCTGGCCAGCATTTGCGAGCCGTGCTGGCTTTCTATTCCGGCAACTGTAATGAGCTATCAGCCTGCTTTGCCCAAGTGCGAGAGACCCTACAAAAACAGTTGCAGGGTAGAATAAAGGTTTATCCCTTTGGCTCGCTTGTAACAGGTTTGGCTTTGAAAGGTAAGTAATACCCATAATTAGGCCTGACATTGCTTTAATTACGCGCCGCTTCTTCTGCAGATAGCGACATTGATCTGTTTCTGGAACAAACCGACACCAGCTCAAATAGCATGTCCCACCGTCAATTGTTCAACAAGATCTACAACTTTTTGCGGCGCACCGATTGCTTCCAGGATGTGTTCGCCATACGACACGCCCGTGTGCCCATCATACGCTGCAAGCATGTCTATAGCGGCCTCAGTCTGGACATTAATATGTCCAGTCCGAATAGCACCTATAATTCGCGTTTTGTCGCCGAGCTATTGGGCCGGGATGTGCGCATGCGCGAGCTATTCCTGTTCCTGAAATTGTGGGCCAAGAAACTGAAGATCATTGGCAGCGGCAGCATGACCAGCTACTGCCTGATCACCCTCATAATATTTGGCATGCAGCAGCGTAAACAATTGCCATCGATCAAGCAGCTGCAGGCACGTTGCCCGGTTCTGGAGGTGATGGGCGTCAATTATGCATATAGCTTTCAGCAAGTGCGTCCAATACCTGCCAGTTTGACCACACTGGATCTCATCTCCAGTTTCTTTGAGCTTTACAGTCAAATGGAATTTGAGAAGAAACTGTTGTCACCCTATTTGGGCTGCGCACTGGACTTGGAGACGGCCTTTTCGATGCCGGGCAAATTTCCCGAGTATGAGGAACAATTAAAGGCCATGCATAAAGCTACGGGGGAGCAGCCGGAACCGTTTCAGTATCAACGTTGCGTTTGCGTTCAGGATCCATTCGAGTTGCAGCATAATGTGGGCCAGTCCATATCCATAACTAATCTCTGCTATCTGCGTGAGTGCCTGGCCCTGGCCACCAAAGCGTGCAGCGATAAAAAATTGGTCTCAACGCCTGAGAAATTATATGACTATTTGCTTTTTGGCCTGGCCGAGAAACTGTTGCAGGGCCAGCGCCTGGACCGGGAGCAGCCGGCCAAGGTGCGCAAGAAAATGTTAAATAAACCAGAGCAGACGCCAATGCAGAGAGCACAGCCAGATGGATCTGAGGCAACAACACAAAACCTCGCAGCTGATGCCATGGACAGAACGCTAGTTACTGCAGCGGCAAAGCCTGCAGTTGCTGCAACGAGCACAACAACAGTTGCTGCAGCGGCAAATGCTGCAGTTGCTGCAACCGCCAATTGTGCAGTTGTTGCGGCAGCAGAATTTGCAGCTGAAGTAGCTGCCAAGCCCAAAGAACGATTATCATCGAGCAGCTCGGTGGAGAATGCGCCACCGCTAATGCATGTCCATACACTGAAACCAACCAACAATGACCTGAAGAGCTTGCGTGCTGATTTCCTGAGTAAAAATCGGAATGCAAAGCAAACAATATTTTACTATTGGGCGGAATGCTATGTGGATGCTATTAAGGATATATTAGCAAATATTTATGGCTTGAATTTGAAGTTAATTGAACCAGAGGAGTCCCTGACAACCAATATCAATAGCAATGCACTGCCGCAACACTTTACCTGGCTGATCAACACATCTCTGGATACGTGGAGTGCTCGCAATTTCCAACGCTCCACACGACAATCATTCTTTGCCCAGCAACTACAGCAGACCATTGAGTTTATCAAGACACGCCCCAATAATGCCAACTATTCTGTCAATCTGTGCGGTCGCTTCTCGCTGGTCGTTGGGCCGGACTACAAGGAGCTGCGCCTGGAACTGCAACCGATGCCAAGCGATGCCCTCGGCCTGCAGCGACACAGTCCGCTAACCAAGTTCTTTAAATCCTTGAAGAATATGTTGTGCAATTACAACTTCAAGGAGAAGGTCATCAGTCTACAACAGTATCAGCATTGAGTTCCACTTCCCCGCCCCCCTCCCTCCCTCCTCGAAAAAAAAGCACAGAAGTCCTTGTTTACCGATCACAACAAAAAATTACGAAAAAAACAAAAAAAAAAAAAAACCAAACACGAACGGCAAAAAAAAAAACAGAAAAGAAACAAGACCCATAAGAGATATTTAAGTTTTTTTTTTTAGTAGCTCACGAACTACATGAAATTATTGTGAAATCAGTTTATACACAGGAGCTATGCGTGAGCTAAGGTACAAGAGAGAATTGCAATGGCTCGTTTGACAAATTACAAGTTATGCCCCCCTTAGAAAATCAGCAAATGTACATATAGCTAAAAACATTTCCATATCGTATATATTTCCCTATATATATATATAAATATATATATATATATGTCCACATATCCGTTAAAATTTTAGGTTAGTGACATCTTTGACTATTTAACCACATTGCTCACAATAAATCAATTGCAATTCTCAACTAAGTTTTGAATTATTTACAAACGCCAAATCTTTATATACTTATATATATATATTTTATTTTGGTTAACTTGTTTTCATTTCCTATTTAATAAAAAAAAAAAAAAAAACGCTTTACTAAATTTGTATCTATGAAAAAAACTTGTCATAAATATTTTTTAATTACATAAGTTTATATGTAAAATGTAGCTGTATATTTTTTAATGCAAACTTAAATAATACTTGATTATACAATATTAATTGAAATCTTGGCATTCGTTGTTTGTTTGGGTTTCTAAGTATATTGGAAATCGAGTATATATACATAAAGAACGTTAGAAGTAAGCTAAAGAATATATATTATATTATTTACATTGCGAATTTGATTTTCTATTTTCCATTTAATTAGGATTTTTGGATTTTTTCTTTGAGTCTACATAGCAAATTTCCAAGCTCTAGTTTATGATACAGACATAATCGAATGTTTCTGATGCTTCTCCAGAAGAATTGAAATATATTTGAAAGAGGTGAAAGCAACTACAACTATAACCTATGTGAAGAAAGGAAGGTTGCCTATCCCTCCTCGGTTCCTGAAACGAACTTAAAGGGCAGCATAACTAACAATCCTGTCCAGTTAATCCAGATTCTAGCGTTGCTCGAGCAAGGAATTGCTTTTATCTAGAACAATATCTGAGAACAGGATAAAGCATAGCATTCGAAACTTTGCCTTCCCGAGGAAAATCCATGCTATCCGAACTAGGTATTGGGTGACATAGACGTAATCTATAGACTATGACTAGTCTAATTCGATATGCCAGTAAAGCTATGCCAGAACAAAAGATGCCCTAACTCTAGTTAAGGAATCTAGATTGAGATTTGTAACCGTTGACATTTCATATGAAAGTCATGCTGATTTAAATTAGCAATAACAATTTCGAAGATTGTATTCTAGACAATTTAGGGATAGATGCCATGCTTCTATCTAGGAAGACGATTTGAAAAGTTGGCTACACCCACACAGAAGATGTCGCTATATTCCCAAGTCGCGTCTATTCTTTGCATTTTCAATGCTAATCTAACATATTGTGTAAATAAAAAGATTATTTACACTTGTTAAATAAATATTATCACGTTGCTGCTCTGGAAATGTTCCCGAGTCGAGGTGTTAACGCCCACACGGCGGCTACTTAGAGGGAGAGTTAAACATCTACTTTTGCTTAGCCCTACAACAACTACTATTAACGGCACTTGGGGGCTTAAGACTAAGCAATCTAAATAATATATGAGTCCCATATAATCGATTTGAATCAAGCGCCCTTGTGACGGCAATAGCAATACTTCTTGATTGCAAAATCGTTCATGCAATCGGCCTCCCCGCTGTACGTGTTGAGGCGACTCACAGAGCCGGTCACCAGCAGGTTGTCCTCCTCGGGCAGTTGGCTGTTGTAGCGCACCGTTGCCTCGTACAGCGCCTTATTGGGCGCGGTATAGAAGATTAGCCAATAGATCTGTATATGGCCGGCATCGATGTCTTTCGGATGCGCCTTGTAAGCGGCGCTTACGCTCTGCAGCGACAGCGGGACGCACAGATGGGCCAGGCTGCCATTACGAAAATTGTTGACATAATCGTTCAGATAGTGCACCACACGCTTGGCCAGCTGACGCACTGTCTTGGAGTTCTTGTAGACGCTATCATACGCCCAGCATGTGCACCAGTGATCCTCAATGGCCACATCCTGACAGCTGCGATTAAGCGGCACTGGCAGCAACAGACTTTGGCACTGCGGGCAATCCTTGGCGCCGCCCAGCGACTCCAGGCTGCCGGAGCGACCCGAAAGCGCGAGTATGTGCTTAAGTGTCATGTGCAGATCGTAGGGCGTGGTCAGACGATTGCGATTCTGGCGCAGCGCTTCGACAAACTCCGGATGCGCCTTCCGCACAAATGGCGGCAGCCAGATAAACAGAAAAGGCAGCCGCTCCTCCAAGTGACCCGACCAGGTGGCACGCGTCGGTCCAAAGCGCAGGCCATGATCGCTGAAAAACACCACAATGCTGTGCTCCATTGTGCCCTGCGCCACCAGCCGTTGCAGATATCCCCGCAAGTAGTCATCCATAGAGCTGGTCTGCGAGATGTCGCTGTGGCTGTGCGTGTTCGTCCAGAAGAAGCCGAAGAAGCTGTCGTTACGATAACGTTTGGCAAACTCCTGCGCATAGTTGTACACATGCTCCGCCTCCGTCTCAAAGCCCACGCAGTGCGGCAGACCAAGGACTATATTGCCGCCGAGTAGCTTCTCTGCGGCGGACAAATACGGACGCAAGTAGTAGTCCACGGGCGGTTGCTGGAAACCCTTTTTCAGGTAATTGAATGTGTTGATCTTGATTGCATCCTCGCCATAGGCAGTCACATAGCCATGTTCTTGGAACAGCTTCCAAATGAAATTGCATTTATCCAGGCCATTCACCTTGTAGGGATTACAGTGCTTCATGGCATTCGTCAGATTGTAGCCCACCATTAGAGCCATTATGTTGGGGAATGTATTGTCATCTATCTGCGGGAGACAGCTTTAGCTATGATTCAATGGATATTATTGATGGGACTCACCTTGTTGTAGCCCGCCAGCTCAAACCAATCCTCGTCGTACAAATACTGCGCTGTCTTGGGCATCGCACGTATTAGATTCACTCGCGAGATGCTATCGATGCCTATCATCAGTACGCTGGGCACACGCCGGCCTTGGTCCTTGTGCGCCCAGCGCTCCAGGCGTTCTCGCACGGCCACGCGCTCCGGTACGGTTGGATGTCCGTTGATGTAGACTCGCTCCTTGTTCGATTTACACTTGACTATGATGCTGTCCGTGCTGTTGGACAGCTGAGCTGAACCTTTAAATTTCTGGCAAGACGTGTAGTTGACATCCGTCTCACTGGCACGCTCCACGCCCATATAGCAGCAGCTAAGGGCGCTGCCCTTTTTGTAGCTGGCCAGAGCTGTGGATTCCATGCTCAGGACATAGCGCTGCGCAGTGCCATCATAGTGCACCCTGGTGAGTGGCGGGCGTGTCTGGCAGGGCTTGTAGGAAACGCGCTTGAAATGGCGCATCACCTCGCGCTTGAACGGATCTAGGTCCACGATCCGGCAGTGATTGCTGTACACGAGATAGCCTTTTGGCATAGGGGTTATCGATGATTGCATCGAATTAGTTGTGTGCTCAATGGTTGTCAATAAAAGCGGTTGCGTTGGGTTCAAATCGAAGGCTGAGCACAACAGTTGGTTGTGCGTGGGGAAAATTAAGGCGGATCATGCGGGGAATACAAAAAAAAAACACATACGAAACAACAATAAACACAAAAGACAACACAAAAGCTGCAAATGCACTACATAACAAATTGCATAAAACGGATCTCAGAGTTAGGGCTCCCCCCTACCTTCCATGTCCAATACATTGGAATGATGATGCACCTGCACGGCCTCCAGGTCCAGCACATCGGCCGGTCCGATTAGGAAATACGAGAATATGAATATCAGCAACAGGCCTAGGATCAGCTTGCGGCGCAGCACCAATTGACGGCCGTACCAGGCCAGCGAGGGCGTGGCGCCGTGCTTGAAGCCAATGCCCGTCAAGGCCGGCTCCGGGGCATCTGCGTTGCCATCCTTTGTCTCGTCGTGAATGTACTCGAGTAGCGGCCGTTGGTCAGCCATTGCAACTATTTGTTTTGGCTGGCTTGCGGCATAATTATTGTTTTTTTTTTCGTCTGCCATGTAATCCCGAAACGATAAGAAGCAATAAACAGTTTAAAGTGATGCAGGAAAGACGAGCCAAAACTATCTAAGCGGCTCTGCTAGACTGGGAGATACTCTGCTGCAATCATTCAACCCTTCTTCCATGCTAAATATAAAATGTTGAGCATCTAAAAGAATAAGTTTGTTGCGTCCAGTTCTTGTTAGCGCCTAAATATCGTTTAAAAACAGGATATCGCTATCGGCGCCTATCGATTCCGTGCAATTGAGGCGAGCTATCGATAAATTCAATCACGACTTAATCGCGGCTTTTACAATGCAACACGACGGGCTCAATTTTAAGTTTTTCGGTTTTTTAAATAGTTTCTAATTGTGAATAATGGGCGTAAGGATAAAGGCCCACACAGATTGAAATGGCGCATCGGCTGTGAGTGAAGGATATTAATACTTTCTAGGATTCGCATAGCTAGCTCATGGCGCTGCATTTGTGCTAAATTATCATAGCTTGCATTTGCCCAATGTACCGCAATGTGTTCAAGGAGTAAGAAGCAGAAAGCGCGGCCGCAACCGACTGCGCGCCATTTTGTGCAAAGTCGAAGAGAATATTCGTGAATAAAACTAATCAGATTTTGGTAAGTGAATATTTATATATTTAACCTGCTCGTGCAAAACGTTTTGTTGGGAGATGGTACGGGCTTATGTTTATTCAAAATTTATCAAATTTCGTAGTTGAAGAAACCAATATACTCATTTTTAAATTGTGAACAGTGTATATAAATAGATAATTAGGCGCAGCATGCGAAAGGGCTCACAAAAACCCATTGCGTGTTTCAATAAATAGGATGCAAATATTAAATATTGTGCTGCAAATTAAAAAGTAATTTAATACGTGGTGAAGCAACAAACAATAGAAATTGAAAAAAAAGAGTCATGAATTATGCAAAATGGTAATTAAATTAAAATTTTTTTTAATAAGAAATATAGAAACTAAAAAGTTGGTTTGCCATACGTGAAGCATAATACAAATGGTACGCTTGTCAAGAGTGCTCGACTAGCAGCTACCCTGTACTCATGCCATAAATCATAAATACACATACATACATAGACATGCATGCACAGACATACTCACACATACACATACGCACACATGTACACACACCCCGTACACTAGTCGAATTCGGGACAGTTGTGCAATTTCCCATTAGTTCGTTTACCAAAGCGTAATTTATATATATATATATATATTTATATTGTTCAATTATTGATCAATTTATAGGGTACAATAATTTTATGGAAATATGTGTTGATTCATATGTGTGCTAAACCCAAAACGTAATGACTTGAAAATGCGGATACAACTCGACTCAAATACCCTGCTCCCACATCAGAATAGAGTATATTGGGTTGCAGTAACACTGAGTCCGTCCGGTTTTTATTTTTAATATTTTTCCATTCCATCTAAAACAGGCTTAGTCAAATTTCGTATGCATATTACTATAAGCCCGGTTCAGCTAAGGTTTTGGCATATTGCCACGCCTGTCGCCGATCAATCATATTCTTTGAACATAAAGAAAGATTAAATTAAGATTAAAGAAAATCAAAAAATTGATGTTGTCCTTAAAACAGATCAATTAATAAGATTTTGTTGCCTTAAACCTCTTTCCCATCTTTTTAAAGCTGTAATTTTTAGTGAAAACAGAGTATCTAGCGGATGGGATCGTTCTCTTCGCAGATCTCTCACTTTCATTGATTATGAATATTTGGCCGAAATAATTTTTATGCTGATCTCAACACTCACTTTTAGAATGGGCGCCGTTTCGATTTCAGTTAAAAATCACATTTACCGCGATATTTGGCTGACATTATCTGGCATCGAGCTCGAAAAGAAATTATCATGTAATTGCAATTGTTGAACTTATTGCCTACCATCTATGTTAAGACCGGGCACTGCACTGTCTTTATATATTCACTGTCAAGAACGAATCGAGACAAATTTTCTGGTGCTGCAAATTTTGTTAATGGAAAACAGAAATAGTTTATTGTTTTTCTTAACAGCTTGTTTACAATTTCAATAATTAAAAGTGGCGTGAATCAGTTAAAGGTCTGCTATATATATACATTCGATGTGGATGATAAGGTGCAGTGAAAACGAAACTAATTAACCCGTGCGACATATTTTGAGATTTATATATTGAAATTGACATAAATTGAAATATGCGCAAAGCAGAAAATTAACGCGCTGCGAACCGTACGCGACGAGCGATCCGTGAGCACTTAAAAAAAGAGAGAGAGAAAAAAAGATACAGCTGCAATTGCTGACGAAAGCGAATCGCGTTGGGCACCTCGCAATCGCCAGCGTTCGCCATCAAGTTTACCCAATCACGAAGCTATTCGGCTATTCGACTATCATTCAATCTTTTTTTTTTAGTTTTTTACCCTCGGCTGTAAGTCGGTCTAGCCGAGTGGCTGTATGCATATAAATGCATTGATCACGGGCACTTGCATTGGTTTATCGTCATCAGACATCATTGAAATTATGAGCTTAGTGCATTTGATGTTTTGCATACGCTGTAATTTAAGGGCAAGAGACATAGCTGTGGGCTAGCTGCCAAATTTTTGGCTAGAGAACAAATTTAGCCCGCCATTTCTTTGGGAAAGTATGCACAGCATGCGATATTTCCTGTAGAACGGGCAATTTGAAATTGAATTAGTATCTAGGATTACGAATGGAAAAACTAGGTTTACGAATTCAAGCTTGAGGCAGGACGATGGGTCAAACATAAAATCAAACCATCGAACATTTCGGATCGAACATTTTGTATCAAACATTTTGGATCGATTACTTTTTTTTCAAACCTTTTTGGTTTGAACAATTTTGAACGAATATTTCTGCTTGAAATAAATAACTTAAAATGTTTAAAATTTTTAAATCAAGTTCCCAGCTTATCAGTCTGGAACTTGTGTTTCAATATTTTTGTAATTTTGTTACCTAAGTATTTCTACTATTTTTATTACTCAACTAATTAGTTAAGAGTGCGCTGTAATTACTCAAAAGTCAATTAGTACGAATAATATAGTGTTTGAAATTATTTGCGTGAAATTTGTTTAGCGAATTTCTCAACTCTTTCTACTTTTATATTTAGAAACTATTTCTAATAATAGAAGACAACATTTTTTAAATTTTTTCATATCATATTTTAATAGTTTTATTTTTAGGGCCTATTAAAAGAGTACTATTAATCGCAGCGTATTTCTTAGCTCATCAACCTTGAACATTTGTGTTCTTAATGGTTTTAAGTTTTGTTTTGTTTTGTTTTTGTTTTTTTTTTTTTACCGTCCATGAGTATGGCCAAAAGCAACAATGATTGATTATACAGTGCTCAATGCTGGTTTTGAAGCATCACGATTTCCGACTATGACACAATAGTTTTTTGTTAGCCATCGAAGAAGAGATATTAAAATGTAATTGAAATTAACGTTGAGCCGAGCTCTGGGCATCTACTATATTTCTCTCTACAGACAATTCCCACGAAAGATAAATTAACGCTTATGTTCATGCAAATGTTGCTAAACAACAAAACATATTGTTGCAGCTAATCAAAGCCGTAGTTGCTGGGCTGCTGTATATATTTATGAATTATTGAGAAGCGTTTTTGTTAAAAATCTATAGAAAAATTGGTTCGTTCTGCCCACAGTTCGGTAATTAAACAAATAACAAGAAAAAAGGGCTGGACTTTTCACTCGATTGCATGCTAAAACAACATTTTCATTAACCACATGTCGATTGTATCTTGGCTTAGATTGCAGCTATGCATTTATTTTTCTGTTGACTTGATAAGTTGATAATGTTTTAGGCATGACTCACACTGATTATCGTAATGTTTAATCTTTGGCAGACTCATGAATTATAAGCTTTAAGCTTGGCCTATGCGCGTGTAGAATTTACATTGAGTCTCAATTAACGCTGAATGTGTAAATTTATTGGGAAATCAAACAATAAAATTATAAACAAACTAGCAACAAGCTGTACAAACAAATATAAATGCTTAGCATGTGCAAAAGCCAGCCAACTTTGCGCAAATAACATTTATGAATAAAAAACCCCATATCGAATTACAAATTGAACTTTAAGTTTGTCTTTAAAAACTTAAGAACTTAGCGTCAAATGAGTCACTTTTGTAATTTTGTATAAAGTGGCAGCACACGTACAACATATAGCTATGCATGTATAGGTATGTCGAGGACGTTCTGACGTAGTAAAAATAGCAAAACACACACACACACACACACACACAGAGAGACAGCGCACAAAGTGTTGTCGAGCTCCTATTGAAAAAATATACAGTTGCAGCGTCAGCGTAAAAATTGCAAACATATCTGTGACACAATAGATACTAACAAGCTGCGCGTACTCGGATATACACACCAACACGCACGCACACATACGCATGCACAAAAGTGTACAGAACTTTTTTTTCGCAATTGTTGTACTTTATAAATAGTTGTATTGTATTTAATGTTGCACTCACTTTAATGCAAACGTTTTTGCAGCTATTTATTGATTGCAACAGTTTAATATTAATTTAATGGCTGCATGTCGCAAATACTACACAAAAACACACAAATACACGGTATTCACACGCACACGCTCGTATGTATAGACAGAGAGTTACACGACGCTCGCGTGTCCTGCTGCAATGGCCTGCAAACAGATAATAATAACAGCAAATATTTTGCACGCTGGCGCCAGCGAGGCTGAGGCGTTCGCATGTGAGTGTGAGAGCTTTCATACACACACACACACTCGCAATTGCGCCGCGTCGGAGAGCGAAAAGCGTAACAGACGGCTGCATTTTGTGAGCGCCGCCTGAAAGCATGCAATGTTTATTTGCTTTTGTCGCTTTCGGTTTTAGCGACTGCGCAGTCGGCGCTGACGCCGCTTGCTCTCTCGCTTGTCCACCAATCAGCGCCCAGCACCTGTTGCATGCTTTTGAGCATTTGTATGCGACGCGGCTCTCACTGCCAAAAAAACACAGCGACAGACTTGTCCTGTGTGTGTGTGGAATTTTTGGCACGTGCTTGCCCAAAATGACAACAAATATCAAAGCCGGCGCACAGTGAACACCCTGTGCAGCTGTTGCCGAATGTAGCATACAAATTGGCGCAAAGCGAAAATGTAAATAATTAATATGTTTAATGAGTTTTGGGCTGAATCTATTGTATAATGTTCATTCTTTTGTAGTTCTTATGAAAGTTGTGCTCCGCTTTTGTTTAATACGTTTTATTTTAGTTATTGTCTTTGGGACGGCAGTGGCAATATTTCTTAAGTGGCCCCTCGCCCAGGCAATTTCCTTCGTCAATGTACGAATTAATACGACTGACGGAGCCGGACAACTGCACGCTTTTCGCGTGTGGCAGGTTCCTGTTGTAGCGCAGCGTTGCCTCGTACAGCGCCCTGTTGGGCAACGTAAATATGTTTAGCATATACATGTCTATTTGCTTGGGGTCGATTTCATTCGGTTCTGCCTTATAAACCTTCCTGACTTCGAACAGCTCTAGCGGCATACACAGATGGGACAGACTGCCATTGCGAAAAGTGGCTACATAATTATTTATGTGCTGCACCGTATAATGCGCCAGCCGCATTACTAATTCGCTCAGGTGAAACTCTTTATATTGCCAGCATGTGCACCAGTGATCCTCAATGGCCACATCCTCGCAACTGCGATTAAGCGGCACCGGCAGCAACAGACTCTGGCACTGCGGGCAATCCTTAGCGCCGCTCAGCGACTTTAGACTGCCGGAGCGACCCGAAAGTGCGAGTATGTGCTTAAGTGTCATGTGCAGATCGTAGGGCGTGGTCAGACGATTGCGATTCTGGCGCAGCGCTTCCACAAACTCCGGATGCGTCTTTCGCACAAATGGCGGCAGCCAGATGAACAGGAAAGGCAGCCGTTCCTCCAAGTAACCCGACCAGGTGTCACGCGTCGGTCCAAAGCGCAGGCCATGATCGCTGAAAAACACCACAATGTTGTGCTCCATTGTGCCCTGCGCCACCAGACGTTGCAGATAGCCCCGCAAGTAGTCATCCATGGAGCTGGTCTGCGATATGTCGCTGTGGCTGTGCGTGTTCGTCCAGAAGAAGCCGAAGAAGCTGTCGTTGCGATAACGTTTGGCAAACTCCTGCGCATAGTTGTACACATGCTTCGCCGCCGTCTCAAAGCCCAGGCAATGGGGCAGACCCAGCTTTGTGTCGCCGCCGAGTAGCTTCTCCGCGGCAGACAAGTATGGACGCAAGTAGTAGTCCACGGGCGGCTGCTGGAAACCCTTTTTTAAGAAGTTGAATGTGTTGATCTTAACCGCATCCTCGCCGTAGGCGCTTACATAGCCGTGCCCCATAAACAGCTTCCATATGAAATGGCATCTATCCAAGCCATGCATTTTGTAGGGATTACAATATTTCAAAGCACTTGTGTAATTGTGACCTGTCAAGACGGCCATTAGGTTGGGAAATGTATTATCATCTATCTACAGGAGACTGATTTAGCCATGGATTGGATAGATTCTATTTAAGGGACTCACCTTGTTATAGCCTGCCAGCTCAAACCAATCCTCGTCGTACAAATACTGTGCGGTCTTGGGCATCGCACGTATTAGATGCACTCGCGAGATGCTATCGATGCCTATCATCAGTACGCTGGGCACACGCCGGCTTCGATCCTTGTGCGCCCAGCGCTCCAGGCGTTCTCGCACGGCCACGCGCTCCGGTATGGTTGCATGTCCGTTGATGTAGATTTGTTTCGTACCCGAGTTACAGGAGACAATGATGTTGTCCGTTGTGTTCGACAGCTGAGCTCTGCTGCTAAATTTGTGGCATGGCGTTAACTTGAACTCATTCTCATTGACACGCTGCACGCCCATGTAGCAGCAGCTAAGCATGTTGCCCACCTGGTAGCTTGGGAACGCACTGGCATCGATGTTCAGCACATAGCGCTGGGCGTTGGCGTCGTAGCGCACCTGGGTCAGCGGCGGCACCGACATGCAGGGCATGTGGTGTATAGGTTTGAAATGGCGCATCACATCGCGCTTGTATGGATCTAGATCCATGATCCGACAGTGATTGTTGTACACGAGATAACCTTGCGACGAAAGGGTTGTCTGATCAATCATCGGTTCGTTGGTTAACAAAAGCATTTGCGTTGTTGGTGGGCGTGGAGTCAGTCCGTGGGCTGAACACAACATTTGATGGTTGGCAAGAACATGTTGGATCGGGCAGAAGTTAAAGAACCAATGAAAGTAATAATTAGGCCAACAAAAAACAAACAAAAATCGAATACAAGTATATGTGAGCTAACTAAATAAATAAGTTTGCGGCTTATACGAATCACTCTCCAAGTTAAGACCTCGTACTCTGCTTATTCTGATACTCTGAGAAAAATATCGTTATATTACTTAAATTAAACAACATCAATTTTTATATATTATATATCCGAAGATTGTTGAAAAAGCATTTTTTTTTATATCCTAATGTAGATCTTACTAAATCAGCTGACTACATGGAAATGGAAGTTCGAAAATGGAATAATGAAAGAACGATCGCCATCGTCGAAACTTCAAAAGTTCATTGGAAAGCAGCAGCTGCATTTGTCTTTATCGTCAAATAAAAGCGAATCGGAATTTTTTTTTTTTTTTTTTTTTAAGTGTAGTGTTGGTGAAAGAGTGAAAAATGTTTGTAAGATTGGCGTAGCTAAGCGCATAATTTAAATATTCCGTTAGTACTTCGCGATTCGTGTCGTACGTTATATAACTATGCCCCTCGGTCGGTCGGGCGGGAAGCGCATTGTATCGGGATTCGCGCGAAAAACTGCATAAGGTGTTAGTTTTTATTTTTCCGTTATTTTTTTTTCTTGCCCTACAAGTTCGAAAAAAGAGTGTTTATATAGTGCCTTATTTTTTTTCAACATTTTTTTTATTGTGCAATTTGTAGTGCATTTTTGGTTACCACAGATTACAGCACATGGGAAAACACTTTCGGAGATGGAGTGCATGCACGTAAGTGAAATATGACTCTTAAATTTTGCTCAATTAATTTTTACAAAATGCAATATGCATTTTCAATAGATTAAATGAATTTATGCCCATCAAGAAAACTCTGTCCTATTCTATATATACGGTCTGGGCAGCATTTCAGATTCAACAGCTGTGATTCTTTAAGTTTCGATATCTCTTATCGTGTCATATTTCTTAGATAACAAACCTTCCATTCCCAAAACATTCGACTCCCGATACACTGGCACAATATCCACATGCGTTGATTTAGTAACGCCCGTTAGATAAAAGCTTACGATATATAATCCGGCAATCAGCATGGTGAATATGGCATACAGAACTACAACGATAAACTGATTGCGCCGCAACAATATACGGCGATAGATACAGTTGAGTACGGACTGCCATGTTACTAGCAGCGGGGAGGGTTCCTTTGCATCCTCCTCAATGCATTCGATCAGCGGCTGTTTCTCAGTCATGCTCATAGACCTTCAAGACTTACAAGAAATTAGAAATAGGATTCATATAAATATTAATGCTCACCTTTTGGGCATAGAAACTTGCTTGGGCTAATTTAACGAACTTGATTTGCTGCTACATTCGCACGTTGCCTTACAACACTGGACTAACTGCTGCTATACTCGTCAGGCCTTTTACAGCACTACATTATACGAAGCTGTATTCGCTTGACACTTTACAACACTTGTTACTTTATTCTTGCAGCAATATTGAAATTGAGTTATGAAAAATTATGTTTCATTTGTTGCTCTTAGAAAGCTTTAAAACCTGATTGAAAAGTCAATTGATATTTACTTATGCAGCAATTGTTTCGCTTTTGACAAAGTACGTTTGAATTAAAATATTAAGCGTAATTTGGAGTAAACAAATGTGTAAGCATTTAATTTAAATGCGAACAAAAACTTTAGCTCAAGGATAATGTTTTTGTAAGTGTTCTACAAGTGTTGATTTTTATCTATATTAAATGATGTGGTACATATTTTTGATAGCTTTGTCAAAGTCAAGAAATGTAATTTAATTTTTCGATACTTCGAATACTCTACATATACCCTTCATATTGAAAGCCTGCGTTAATATATCGAAAGGCTGACATCGTCCTAAATAATTATACTTTAAATATATTTAAATTTTTATCATTTTGGCAAATAATTAAACAAGGGCTTTTCATAATTTTTTGACATTTTTTATTTTAAAAATATGTTGTGTTCGTTTTTATTTTTTTCATTATTATTTAATTCATGCATTTTGTGTTCTCTTAAATGGTTTATTTTGTTCTGATGCGTTTTGACTTGATGAAAATCTGGGCAAACCGTCGCGACGGTCCCACACTATATGTGTATATATAGATATATAGTGAATAGGGGGCTCGATATTGGTACATTATGCCTTACAATTTCATTTTATAGCCATTTATCATGTACATCAAGCAATTTGTTAACTTATTTACAAACAAATTAATATATTATAAAAATGCATCAATTGTTTTTGCTGATTCTTTTTTTTTGTTCTCGTTGTTTTCTTTTTTGCCTGGCCATAATTTAAATAAATTAGATAATTTTATAAAACTAAGCTAAGCGAATGAAGTGTTTTTTTTTTTCTGGTAGGGTATTAAAAAGTGAGAATAAATAAATAGTTCAATGGGCACATGAGTAGAATAAATAGTGTGTGTGTGTGTGCGTGAATAATGGGTATAGTTAGTCGATATGAAGTTTGGGATTGTGTGGGGGGAGTATGGGTTAGCGGGAGTATTGGTTAGATCGCGCATAGGGCGCACAATTGTCAGCATCGCTGGGTCAAAGGATGTTTGTGCATCCCTTGCTAGCAAGGTGGCAATTGGGCGTGGCTGGCGCAGTCAAACAAAATAATAAATAAATAAATAAATAAATAGCGTTAAATCGACTTAAATGCTAATGCAAAAATCAAATATTTCAATTGGTGCACATAATTGGCAAATTGACAGTGTGGGTAAAGTGCACGAAATAGTGTTGCGAAACAGTGTTGCAGTTGCAAATCGATTGTAGATCGTATTACCACAGCGGCATGGGGCGATGTCTAGCCAAATAGGCGGGCAGGCTGGCAGCCTTGGGCGCCGGGCAGCCTGTAAGTGGGAAAAAGCACAAATTAAATCGATTGTTGGCAATCCGGCTGGGGCTCAAACTTACGGCAGACGGCGCAGGTTTGCTCGTCGGTGCCATCGCCGCAGCCATCGCGTCCAGAGCATACAATCGCCGTGGAGCGGCACAGTCCGTTGCTGCAGCGGTGCGGGCAGTAGGCGTCCGGCTCGTTGCGGCTGGCTAGCAGGCCGCCAGCCTCAATTAGACGCATGAATAGATTGGGCATTGCGCGGGAGCCGCACAGATGCGGTGGCTCATCGCTGCCATCCTTGCAGGAGACAATCGCATTGCAGTACTCGTACTCCGGCAGGCACTCGCCGCTCTTGCAGCGGAACGTGTGCGCCGGACAGCTGTTGCCGCCCCTCTGGTGTCCATCGCAGCCCAGCTCATCCTCGCCATGTGGACACTGTTTGCGTCCGTCGCAGAGCGCCGCACGTGAGATGCAGCGACCGCTGCGCTCACAGCGGAACGCCTCCGCCGGACAGGTCTGGTTGAGGCGCGCATTGTGGGTGCACTCCTCGTCCGAGTCGTCATTACAATCGGCGCGTCCGTCACACACAAAGAACCACGAGATGCACACGCCACTCGAGCGGCACTGTAAAAGGGTAAGGGACAGTTAACAAAAGTCTTCAAACTTGAAAGGGGTAGATTCACACAGTTAGTGTACTTCATTAAGAGTATTCCTTGCAAGTAAGCCAAACAGCTACTAAACATTTACAATGTACCAGTAGCTACCCGTAACTCATCGCTTTTCATGAACAACAATTTTTGAGTACGGTTATTTTTCGTGTATATGTTGTACCTAGGAAATTGTACCATGGAATCCATCAAAAATAACATCAGAAATGTACTTCTGAATTAATTTAATATTAATATATTAAATGGTATATTATGGTACATTTTCCATCCATGGTACGTGTTGCTTGTAATTTAAGGTACAAGATTAAATTTTCGTGTGACGAAATCATAGAAAAAACAAAAACCTAGCATTGAGCAAATGGAGTCGATTTTTAAATATGAAGTGGTACACTTTGAATCACTTTTCATACATGGTACATTTTAATAGAAAATAGTACATGTCGCTTGAAATTTTGAGTACACGATAAATTTTTCGTATGACTAAATCGTGGCAAAAATAATTTAGCATTGCTAAAGTGGAGTCATTTAATGACTGTAATTTGGTACCTTTTCCATTTATGGTAGATGATAATAGATTGTTGTTAATTTTATTTGGAAATTTAGTGAGAAGATAATTTAATCGTGTGAATGTATTATAGTTAGAAAAATGTGCTATTCATCAAATTTTGTCCACTGAAAAGGTTTTAGGCTGAACAATTTTTCCAACAAAGGTACATTTCAAAACCATAAATAGTAAATGTTGCTGGTAAATGTAGGTACAGGTTAATGTAAAACGATTAAAATAAACGGGCTAAAGCAATGCTATTACTTGGCGCTACGCCTACTTTAGCTTAAGTTTATTTTGGAAAAACGAATTTCGTGCAAGCTTACCTGGAAGGTGCCGGGACTGCAACCTGTGCGTTCTGCGCTGCATTGTTCCTGTTCGCCGCTTGCCGTTGCGCAGTCGCAAACGCCGCGTGCATTGCACACCGTGTGTGGATCGGACAGCTGGCATTGACGATCGCTGGCGCAGGGCAGACCCAGCGAGATGGCTTCCAGACCCAAATCGACACGCTTGCGCAGTTCGGAGCCCGGCTTGCCGCTCAACAGGGGCAGTGCAGCGACGGGTACGACTGGAATCTCAGCTGGTTGCGGTGTAGCCTCCTCTGCGGTCATGAGAGGCTTTAGGGTGGTGACCACCGGCGCAGCGGGCTCCATGAGTGTGACACGACTGGCCAAGCCGAGCATCGTTTGCGTGGTTATCTCTACAATGTCAGCGGGATTGGGCGTGGCCTCTTCGTGCGTCTGGCTGGCAGCGGGCGCAGCATTTGCCTCCTCGATGTGATTGTTTTGATCGAGCAGCGTATCCAATGTGGTCGATTCCAGTATAAGACTGTCCGATTCGAGCTCCTGCAGCCTGATGGGGCCAGAGTTGTCGATCAGGTCAAAAGGCAGCTCATCAGGGGACAGCGTGCGTTCCGGTTCAACTTCGGCTTCAGGAGTGCTCGATTCCGGTTCGTCTGTCTGTTCAGCTGCAGCTGTGCTAGCTTCCTGCTCTGACGGCATCTCCGGATAGAAGGTTATTAGCTTCTCATCCTGCTCCTTGCTGGACAATTCGGTAACAGCTTCATCTTCGTGCTGCTCCTGCTGCTCTGGCTGTTCCTGCTGTTCATGAAGCTCGTCCGCCTCCGCCAACAGATCGGGTATGACTGGCATCTCGGCCTCATCCAGCTGCTGCTGCTGCACGTGCTCATCCGGCATAGGCATGGTTTGGCCAGGCTGTTGTCCAAATGGCACCGGTGGAACTGTGCTGTCGCCCTCTAGCATCAGATCGTTGAGTATGCCCGCAATGCTTTCGCTCTCCTTGAAATCATCCGTGTTCTGCTCCTCGCTGACAATGGGCACCTCGGCGGCCAGCTCTGGCGTTTGGGTGGCTGCAATTTCCGTTTCGGTCTCAGTTGTCACAGACTCAGCTTGAACAGTCTCGAGTGGCTGCTGCTCTTGGTCCAGGTTGTGCTCCTTCAGCTGCTCAATGCTGGTGTAGTCCAGCGTCTGCTCGGCTTCCAGCTTGGTCTGCTCGGGCTGCTCAGTTACAGCAGCTGCGGGCTCGGGTTCGATGGCCTTGATTGGCTGTTGCTCCACATTTGGCTCCGCTCCTTGTATGATATTATCATTTTCATTTTTGTCCATTTCCGTTTCATCTAGCTCTCCACTTTCACTGTGCCCGGCGGTGACAGTTTCCGCCGCCAGCTCCGTCGCGGCCTCCGCATTGAGTTCGGTTTCCTTCAAAGCTTCGGTGTTGGTTTCCTGTAGCTCATCTTGGTTAATTGGCAATGCCGCTGGCGCTATTTCGATGCCCGTCTCGGCCGCACCTTCAACAGCATGATGGGTCTCCATCAGCTCCGGCTCTGGCAACGCCTCAGCTTCATCCACATGCGACACCTCATCATTAGCAATGTTGTCCGACTGCTCTGCCTCTGCCTCTGACTCTGCCGTCGCCTCGGGCTGTTTCTCTGCAATTGTTTCCGACACTTCGGGCGTCTTAATTGCATTTGCATTTAGTTCAGACTCTGCTGTCAAGATTTCTGGTTCAGCTGCCGTTCGTTCAGTCGTTGCCTCCGCCTGCTGCTCCTCCTCCTTCTCCTCCTCCTCCTCCTCCGCCTCCTGCTGCTGCTCTTCGGCCACCTGCTCTGTGGTCTGCTCTGGCGCCAATTCATCATCATTTGTTGGGTAAGTCAATTCTTCGTGTTGCGCTTCGCTGGTTGCCTCCACCTCAGCTGGCTGGTGCACAGTCTCCGTCTGGTTCTCCACCGTCTCCTCATCCAGATCATGTTGCACATTCTGCTCCCCCTGCTCCTCATTGATTTGCTGCTGTTCGGTTGTTCGGTCAACTTCGTCTTCAGCTGGTTGCTGCTCCGCGATTTGCTCTTGATTTAATTGATTGGCTTCATTTAAATCATCTTCGCCACTTGTCGGCTTGATGTCGGCGCTTTGTTCTGCCCGATCGGTTTCAGTCTCCAGCTCTGACTCCGTCTCCGTCTCAGTCTCCGTCTCAGTCTCCGTCTCAGTCTCTGGCTGCTGCTCTGTCTCTTTCTGCGTCTCGATTTCAGCCGCATTCTCGGGCGCGGTTTCGGTTGCCAACTCGACTTCTGCGGCTTCAGCATCAGCTTCTGGCTCAGCTACTGTTGGTTCGGGTTTCTGTTGCTCCTCTTCCACTTG